GCTGGTATACGGTCTGACATCAAATTTACACTTTGTAAAAAATTCGAAAGACTTTTGAGTGAACAAAAACAGGGATCCAAAACTTACAACAACGAACCACCACACCACCACACGCAAGTTGCAACACAGAATGCTTCGGGCAATGATAGGGCAGCTAGAGTCACTATTTTGGGAGACGTTCATATATCAACTAACGCTGTAGATCTTCTAAGCCTCGGTCCAAGCTTTTCACCCGCACAAAACATCAATGCCATTACGTACCGAAAGGTGATAGGATCATTGCAACAGCTAAGAGACCAGCTACGGGTTAGATTGAGACGGGAATATCAAACACATCGGAGTGATACGCTAATCAATAGAAGAACGCTACCATTTGTCCCTTTGTCATCATCTTTTTACAAAGAACCTGAGCCGTGCCACATAGCAGATGTCAAGTTCCGTATCTTTTGTTCTGGCATTTTTGATGTGTTGAACAAATACAAGAACACTAGACATTTTAACTTAACTTACGCACAGTGGCAAGGTTTCAAAGAACTACATCAGATGATTGACAATGGCAGCGTTCGTCTATCTGTTAGCGACAAAAGAGGAGAGTTTGTCGTAACGTCTCAAACACTAGATCGCGAGATTACCAAGCTTCATCTCTCAGACACTACGGTATACCGTCGCGTAACTGAGAAGGAGTATGTCTCTCAGTACAAACGCCTGAATCATATTTGGATGTTGCTTGGAAAGGAAGCTGGTCTCAGCGAACGATTTCTCAGTGGGCTTAAGCTGGACCACCCAACTTGTCCCGTTTTTTATAGCTTAATAAAAACGCATAAGCTTCCCTCTTGCGGTACTCGCTCCGCGCCAGCTACAGGTTACAAAATCCGGCCAATCATCAGTTGCATTAACGGCCCAACTGACAGGATAGCATGGTTCCTCAACAAAATTGTCAGTCCACTTCTCAATCAAGTTCCCTCACACCTGACCAACACTAGACACATTTCCTTGACCGGCTGCAGCAAGTGAATTTTGATCAGAACTGCGTCATAGAGTCATTTGACGTGACTTTGCTATATGTACACCAATGTCTCCATCAGCGACGCATTACAGGAGCTTGCTGAGATGCTTGATGAGCACTGTGCGAATATGATGACATATGGCCTCAGTAAAACGCGGCTTATGACTTTAATAAGAGAGTCTTAGCTGCAATGTATTCAGGTGGTCTGGAGAATATCTCTCACAAGTAAGGGGCCTGACAATGGGTCAGAGACTAGCACCCGTGCTCGCCGTATGCTTTATGAGCAAAATAGAAAAGCCGGTGCTGTCTAGAAATTCACTTATGTACTGCAGGTACATAGACGATTGCTGTATAATAACATCGACTCAGTCCGAAATGGACGAGTGCTTCGAAGTATTGAATCAGCAATCTCAGTACATAAGATTCACGAGAGAGAAACCAAACGAAGGTTGGTTGCCATATTTGAACACCCAACTGATGTTGACCACTGGCGCGGTACGAATAAAATGGTATCGCAAAGCAAGCTGTAAGAACATCCTTCTACACGCCAAGTCCGCTCATCCGATTGCCGTTAAACGTGCTGTTTTGCGTAATATGTTCCAAACGGCAACTAACATCTGTAGTGGCGAGAGTGAGCGACAGGAATCTCGATTGCTGGCGTCCGAAATAGCAGCATCAAACGGCTACTATTCGACAAAGTCTACACGCATTCGAAGAACAACTGCGAGACCAAATGACAGATCTGGCTTGATTCCTTTCAGCTTACCATTTATCTCAGACAGGGTAACCCACGCGATACAAAATTGTTTGGTGCAAGCCCAGCTAGAACGTGATGTCGTTCTCGTTAATAAACCACGGAACAACATCAGAAAGCAACTTGTGCGTAACAGATTGTACGACATAGCTTGCACTTCTCCATGCTGCGTCATTTGCCCTTACGGAAAGCCGGGGGATTGCGCAAGATCTAAAGTAGTCTACGAATTAGAATGCTTAGACTGCCATGCTACATATAGGGCTTATCAAATTGAGTGTCGTTTGCACCAGCATCTCCATCTTCGCGCTGGGCTCTGCGTCTCTTCTGCGGTACATGCTCCCTAATCACTTCCAATCGATTGATGCTCCGCCTTTCCCACGCTCGCCCTGGGAAAGTGCTCAGAGAGCGGACCTGCGGAAGAGACGCAGAGTCTAGCGCGAAGATGGAGAGCCGGTGCAAACGACACTCAATTTGATAAGCCCTATATATCGGCGAGACCGAGCAACCACTCTTCATACGCATAAACGAGCACTTGGCGAGTAAAAAACAAGAAAACGTAACGGCACCGCTGGGAAAACAAAAAAGTTGATCATGGCGGCAATGATTTCAATGTTAAGTGCGTTGTATTAGCTTTAGAGACAAAAAATATCTGCTCATAAAGCCTTGGAGGCGTCATTCATTCTATCCAGGGAGCCCAAAATGAATGGCAAAAATGAACAACTCTCTATCACAAGTGATCTCATGCCGTTCCTGTCATATTGCCAGCTATAATGCCCACTATATAAACAGATCCTTGAAGGGACCACGTTTATACTCTTGTCATCTCTGGGTGAAGCTAGGCACTGCTTTCGAAGCACATTATCAGCGTGACCCCTGGTGAGTTGTTAGTGAATTGGATACTCGTTGATGTACACTTAGAATGAATTGAATAGTCGAGTCTAAAGGAGAGGTTTGGCCGTGTAAAGTGCAAGATTAAGGTGAATGACTGACTTTCAGGCCTCTGAGGAAGGCATTATTGCCGAAACGTTAGGCCGAATAAAACATTTATATCAAACCTGTCTGGCAAAGAAAGCTACTGAATATATGACATAATGCCCAGGTTTTACGAACAGAGAACGTACGAGATATCAATTGATATCATTTATTTCGATTTATCTAAAGCCTTTGAGTCAACCACTGCAAACTTTTATTCAAACTTGAAAAAATCGAAGCATGTGGTAGACTACTGGCATGGATTGACTCGTATCTCAGTGAACGCAGAATGACTGTACGAGTCGGAAATGACTATTCGGATGAGTATGTTTGTGGTAGTGGTGTTCCTCAGGGTGGGATTCTTTCACCGCTTCTATTTCTAATCTTCACCGCTGATCTACCTGCCTTCGTAAACACATCCAAATATCCGGATACAAACTTTTGCAGATGACTTGAAAATCTACTTTGCATATGCCAAGAATGAACAAACTAAAGCCCATGAAGCCCTCTCTTCGTCTATCGAAAAGATGGTAACATGGTCAAGGAAATGAGATTTGCCTCTAAATTTTTCAAAATGTTCTGTGATGCACTTGGGCGATGCTCCTTACAGGCCATATTACTGCGAGGATTCTGTTCTTGAGCGTCGGGAAATAGTGAGAGATTTAGGGGTTATAATTGATAATTCACTCAAGTTTACGAGCCATTACGAATCATTCATCAATAAATCATTGGCATCGTTGTTCATGCTCTTGAGAAACGTGCACAGCAACAATCCTGCTTTATTGGTGCGATTGTATAGAACCTACGTTTCATCTCACCTTGATTACGCTTCACCCTCTGGAATCCATTCCTTAAGAAGAATGCGATTAAACTTGAGAGAGTACAAAAAGTATTTACTCGGATAGTTTTTTACAGATGTGTTCCCAGTACCGATTACCCACGATGTTTACCGTCATATAGTAAAAGACTTGCCACTTTGAAATTGCGTAGTCTAAAATATAGGCGCATTGTAAACGATTTAGTTTTTTGTTTCCGAATCTTGCATCTGGAAACTAGATTGCAAGCGAGTAAGTACTGGGCTTTCAGACCGTGTGGGGAACGTACAGGTGGGTTTGATCTACATCATCGTAAACTAGGTAAAAAAATGTTTTTGGCAACTTTCAGTTCATTTTTTTGTCGTACATCCAGATGGCTGAGTCTCTTACCAAAAGAAATGTTTGCAGTAAGAATACTTCCGTTTTTCGTAAAAAATTAGCTTCCATAAATGTGTTAAATATGTTGCATATTCCTGATGTTTAGGAGTTCAATGCTTGCTCTTCATCTAGCCTTTCAACTGCACATCTATCACTCCTCGCTTCTTGCCAGATCGAGTATAGATTGATCATTCTCTGCCTTTGCTGTGTTACTAACCATGATTATGTCTTCACTAGCAGTAACCAACCTGTCATACCAACAAGGTGTTCTTTTTACAGTTCCATGTCACATTGAGTTCTAGCCCCAGACCTTAGACCGTTCTTCTTGGAAGTAGTACATCTATTTTAGTTGACACAATCTTGCTTCCTCTAAAATTAAGCTTTTTCGGGGACAAGTCAGCTAGCTTACCGGGAGCTCGCTGGCACCCAAAAAACCGGGTCATCAGAATTTTAGAGTAAGTAAGATCCAAATTCTTTCCTCTAGATTATTTCCCACAGTTCGCAGCCTTCTGCTCAGAACGTGTGCACGTCTTAGGTCTAGGGCTCTTCAGCTTGTTTACACTTATGCTCCTATCTCATGTAGCTACCTTTGTGGTTGGTTGGTTTTGCAAGTTTTTTTTGTTAGGTGCACCATGAGTGTATTAAAATAAATAAATGAATAAATAAGCTCTTTTGCGAAGTCTGAAACAAAAATTTTGAAAATTAGCTGGAGTTAGGCAAAGTAGAAATTAACGGTTTAGCAAAATTGATGACAGATCAAAAAGACGCTTAGAATAGTCACCGTTTGCTATCTGTGAATTCTGTGACTTGCGGGGATCAGCGAGCGTTCGCAATCCTTTCAGTATGTCGAATTGAAGCTCGCCGTTGCGACATTTGATAGTGATCTCTGTAAGTTTTTCAGAAAATGTACTTGTCGGCAAAAACTATCGCTTGGATTAGCTTTTATCTTGAGCTACCTGTGCAGCTTTTGGGAGTCTTAAGCTCTGCATTATTTCTTGCACTATTTCTGAAAACTAGATTGTTACATACAAATCTTCTACTGATTTTTATTAGCCTCATATCCACTTACATACTGATGTCTTTGGTACGTCTGTGTTATATGGTGATGCTGATCATTCGTGTCTCCGAGGGTGCAACAATGCCAACTTTTTTAAGACGTATGCGTGGTATAGCTTCATATGCAGGTATGTATTTCTGTGTATGCGAGGTTTTCAGGAACTTGTTCTGAGAAAGTGATTTTTTGTCAAAACCAGATGTACTTTAGTAGATTCCTTTGAGACAGAAATGAGAGGAAGAGAGTACAGCTTTGAAAGGTTGAAGACTGTGGCCAAAATGATAAGAAATGGAAATGGGCTTTTTTCTGAAACACCCAAATTTGGATTGCCATTTGAAGAAGCGATGCCTGAGTGAAGAGAGTTGTTGTGCAACCGTCATAACTGTCGCGCTATTCGCGTTTCCCGCCTTTGAGTTTGAAAGCTGTACGAAGGCATTGTGACTACCGTGAAATCCGGGCCAAGTTCGAGGCAAAGTTTAGGCTTGATACGCTCTTTTTCGCTTTGAACTTCTGTCATCGCGCAAGGAGGAGTCTACCTATAATATCACTGCAAAAGCCTGCCCCCTCACTTTATCGGCACTTCGCGCTGTCTTGCATAACCTCATTCCGAAATTTCACTTTAGAGAAGGGAATTTTGAGAAAAGGATTCTACAACGTCCATAATTTGATTTTGGTTGAGTGGAACAGTTCAAGCTGATGCTAAGCGCAGAGTCGCTTTATCACACTATGACTTCACTGTGGCAACATTCTGCCGTTGAGGAGGGAATCTTGGAACTACTTTCCCATTACAGTAAAGTTCTCCAACTTTTGAGGCATGTTTTCTTGCGAATGTGCCCTGAATCAGCCCACATTTCATGGAAGCAAGTTGCTCGCTACTCAATGACGAAAAAAGCAATGAGTTCTTTACAAAGTAAAGTGGGCAACTGTGAATGTGACAACAGTTGGTGACTTACGCGCAATGTGAAACAAATGCAAAATTATATGATTAAAAGGTGTGATAAAGTATTTCGAATACCAGTGGTCCTGTCATTGCACAGTGCTACCTTGATGCCAGCCTGGAAGGCGTCTTATCCATTTTACATAATTTGCTCAAAAAATTTCAGATAAACATGCTGGACATTTGATGCTCACTATATAATAGTACCAACATACATGACTCTCTTGTTGCTATTCTTACGACTTGAATATCATTCAACCAAGTTCCTAAAAAGAACCGTGCTGGAATTGAACATTTTCTACTCCACAATGTAGCTGAAGTTTGAAGAACGTGATGTTTTGGGTGAGAAAAGAGGCAGCTCTTCCAGGCTTCGTTATCGTTGAGCCTTGAACGCATATTTGAGTGACTATACGGGGCAAATGTAGTGAGCGAAAAAATTCGGTATTAGGTTTTGCCCAAGCATTGCATCTAAGCAAAAGGCCAAGAATAACTCACATAGATAGCTCCTTCACAAATTCCACACCGTTGCTTAAATCATATTGAAAAACCGAAATCAAGCATCTAAGAGCAGCGCCCCCATGCTTTTGTACTTCCAGGCCCTTTTCGTGGCCTTGTGCAGTTATAAAGTTCTAACAAAAACCCTGAAAAAAGCCATCCGATTCCTAAAGACTTAAAGGGCGGACGAGTTCCAATTTGTTCACCCCCTCCGCTTACCAGCGGGGAGGAGCTGCAACTGCATGGGGCGCAGCTGCAGCTCTTGCATGAGCATTCGTCCTCACAGGGAGGTTTGTGATATGAGGGGCGGTTTGTGATACGTATCACAGGCCCGTATCTCCTCTTAAAAGCTACATCAAAGGATTGGGCCAACGCAGGTCAGGTACACCTAGGGTCGCTTGACAACTATATGCCATTTGTGATGGGGTGAATTTTGGGTGGACGCTGCCTTTGAGCCATGAAATCTGAAGCTTGTTTATTCTAGTCAGACTTTGTGGGAAAATGCCTGTTTGAAACTATTGTTAGCTAACTGGATAATGTAGCGCTGCTGGCACTTAGAAAAAAAATGTGAACTGTGATGGATTAGGAGCTGGTCACGGCTGGCGCCCGACCAAGATGTTATCGTTTTTAGGGAAAACGCAAAGGAAAAGTTGTTTTAGAGTTGAGTTCCGAAGTGGAACCCAGGAAAAATTGCAGATGCATTGGTGTCTTCATGCTCAATGAAAAGTTTGCAGTCTTTGCGATAGCTTGATTTGTGGTCACAAAGATGGGAATATCAGTACATGTTCTGACGCGATCTCGTCCTGGGCAAGGCTTGAAAGTTGGCTCCTAAGTGGAGTTTGGGCTGCATAGTTGTTATCTTGCTCGCCACATCACGCGTCATTTACTCATTTAGTACGCACTTGCCATCGTCGGTTTTTCGCTACGCTTCAGTTATTGCATATGATTCAGTGCCGTACCCACGATTTCGTTTCGAAAAGGGGGAGGGGAGGGGACAGAAAATTTTTGGATGAAGGTGCGTGACATTAGCCACGCGCACCCCGAAATATTTTTGGAACGCTTTTCAAAATTTTTGCGGGGCCTATGACCACGAAATTTCTGAAAAAGGGCGTGGCGACAGTTACTCCAGCGAAAGAATTTGCTAACGAGGCTAATTTAGATCTTACAAATTCTCAAAAATTATTCTAATTGTTTACAAGCAAAAACAAGTCGCTTGCATATTTTTATGACTCATGAAAGTAGCTTTAAGAAATTTCGCGATTCATTCTCGGGCGGGGGGCTTAGTACTTTACTGACATGACTCAGAAATTCCATGGTGTATTATCTATTCTACTAAAGCGAGAAATGAACTTGCAAGCGACAGATTGTAGCTGCTTAAAGCTGTCAAACTCAGTTGTTTCTAGCTGGATTACACCTTGTTTTGCTAGCTTGCGAGAGGGTGACGGCTAGTCGACGTTCGCGGACATACGAAAAAGAATCCAACGTCTTCTTGATCACCTTCTCCATCTTCTTTCTGGTGCGTGGTAATAACGCTTTTAGCACATAATTTTATCACATAACGCAGTTTCAGTGGTGTCTTGCAGTATCTACTATCTACCCTTATGAGACTTACTCACTCGGTCCTATCATTGTGGCAGCCTCCCAAGTGGTGCTTTACATAATATCAATATTCGTGGGTGTTTTTAATGTTTTGAAAGAAAGATTTGATTGCTCGCCATACCTTACTATTATCGCTTTGTACATAAATAATATTGAGGTATGAAGAGCTGACAAGTTGTGCCTACTAGCATTCTCACACCAGAGGAAACGCTAGTTCATATTTGCGACACTTCATTCGAGCTGGTACATCAACCCGGAAACTATTGAGTCACACTGGTCTCATCTCTTATGGTGCTTGAAATGCATTTTTAGAGGAACTTACTACTTAACTTGCAACTTCTTTGCTGCTTGATGTAGTCGTATGTTGACGACGTCAACTAGTTTTCGTAACCGGGCTTTCATGAAGAACCAAACCACACACACTCTTTAAAACACTTTATTTATCGCTCTTCGGAACGCTTTATTTGTTGCAACTGTATGTCGTGTTTAGATCGTAAAAATAACGTCCAATTTTCGAAAACCAGGGCTTGCGGAATGCTAAAAATTTTCGATTATACTTCTAACAAGGGAAGGATACTTGGTCACCGCAGCCATTCATAATGATTTGCATATCAAATGCGCCTTTTGATGCTGGTTCGAATACTGTCTTCCATATCTGCGAAACGATAGCCTGAATGGAGTTATGATTATTTTTTCAATAAACTGCGTTATTGCGGAGGGTCAAAATCATCAAAAAAAAATTTTCTTTCTTTTTCAAATGCTGAGTATGATTTAGATAGGTATAGACAACAGTATTCCTTTTAAGATTCCCTTCAATAGCTTCAAATGGAAACTTAGAACAAATTGGTGATTTCGACTACACAAAAGTACGCAAATTTTCTATGAAAATAGTTCATAACTTCCTTCAGAAGATCGTTTCGCAGATATCGAGCACAGATTCGGAATCAGCGTTTCAAGATCCATATTATGGTGTACATCGCATTCCAAATGGCCGCGATGACCGAGTATCCTTTCCTTGTAAGGCTTTGTATTACACAAAACATTAGTGAGAACAGCGCAGCTTCTTTTTTGCATAAGCATAAAAATTTTTGTTTTTTCGATTTCTAGATAAAGAAAAAATACAGCAACGGTCCATATGAGTGTCTAATGTGATGTGCAGTTTGCGTGGGCAAGTTGGAGATCTTAAGGATTTTATTGAGAGAAGATATGAATTTTTTGCGTTTTTTGAGCCCTCAGTACGACTCAGATTTTGGATGCAAACTTACGGTGGGTCGAAGCTGGTGCGAACTTTTGAGCACCTTCTTGTAGAGCTTGCTTTGCTCTATCAAACAATGTATTGGACCATCAAGAATATGAACTACACGACTTATCGCTGTAGGAAATTAGAGTGTAACAAGACTTATGTTACAAATTAGTAATAGCAACCTCTAATGAACATCAGGTAATGTTTGCTCAGAGTCGAAAAAGTCAAGAATGAGAAGTCAGGAAAGCATGATATGCCTGAGCGATTAGCTCTGAGCTTTTTAGAGTTTGGCCGATCAACGCTAGAGCCGATCCTAAATTTATCTATCCATTTATCGCGAAGTGCGCGTGCCACAGAACACGTCAGAGCACTATTGGTAGTAAAAAACATCTATGGGATAAAAGTTGAAGACTGGAAAAGGAGAAGAAGCAGTTCAGGAAGCTATGGGCACTGAAAGTGCAAAACCCAGCTGAAGAAACAAGCAACTATCGAGATAGGGGCAAAAGCATGGAGTAGCAGACACCGATAGATCAATGATTGGGAAAGGAGGAGGCCAAAATAATTTTTGGAGGTTAAGAACCTAGATGGTCAAAAAATCAAAGACGAACGAGTGAGAATACGGAAAGCATTGAAAGGCGCAACTCGTAATCTGACAAGATACCCAAAAGATACGTCCGCGAAAGCGGCGCAAGAACCACCGAGGCGGCCTGTGACGCTGCAAGCCGTACGGCTCTGACACTCATTTTGAGAAGATACTGTAGTTTCTTTTTTTTGTATTTTGAGCAGAAGACCGAGACCTTGGATAACAGTTAGTGCTGCACATCAAATAATATCAGATGTGCAATGATTGATTTGTAGTTAGTGTGAAAACCTACTTTCGGAGAAAAGGACCGCGCATATGCTGCAAGTGACTAAACACATTGTTTTACAGCAAGTTCGGAGTTTAACAATTTTTAGCTTATATCTATCAAAAAGAGCAGGCATTGAACCTTGTGTTCCAGCTAATGGTTTATGTAAGAAGAACCAATTTGAACTATTGGCATCTAAATCGATGCTCTTTGGAGTTTTCACATACGTATCAGGTAATGATTCGGTTGTTCTCCCTTTTTTTCGCGAATCACTGGTACAGGGCTTTTCAACCTGAGAGTCGCAAGTTTCGCTTGCGCGGCTCCTCCAACGCGGCCGCCTCGCTCAGGCCGCGCGCGGCGTTTGCTGCGTATCGCCCGGATTTCGCCAAGCTACAGTCGACGCGCAGCCAGCGCCACGAACGCTGCGCGGACCTAAGCGTGGCGTCCTAGCGGGGCGGGTGGGACACTCAGGTTGTAAAGCCCTGTAAATTCGATGGATTTATCGATACCTACAATCGCCCCGACGGCCGCCCTTAGCCTCCTTGCTGGTAGTCCTCGTCAGCAGCTACCATCAGAGAAAAACCGCTTTAACCTAAAGATAGCGCAAAACGAATAATTTTAATCGCTTCGTTGCATCCGTTTACGTCATTTCATTACTCATATTCTTGATTTATTGCTCTTGTCAGCCTAACTCTGGCGCATTAGTTTGTAATGTCATTATCTGGTCGTTTTGGAGCTTGAGTAGGCTAAGATCTTGTTGTAAACTATGATAAGAGATGAGATAGTGCGTGTAGTCAAAAATACCCTTTGATTCTAGATTCGCGTCCGAGGGGCAGAGTTTCGTGACCTAATTAAGGCTAAGGAATGATTAGAAAGCAGGCCCTCGGGGAGGCGCATCGCGGGCGCGAGCTCACCTACCAGCCGCCAATCTCGTTGAATCAAAGAGTATAAGGTTTTACAAAAAAAGAGTACATATTTTCCTAATTTCACGCGTATAAGAACGCACCTTTTCCGCTTTTTCGGGCGTCTACTTCAGCCGCCTCATTGTGTTCCGGAAAACTTATGCCGCACGATACTCACAGGCAATATGCAGCACTGTAAACAGTTTTTTTTTTCGCGAAGTCTTTCGGTATGTCTGTGCTACTCGAATTTAGAAAAATCACCCGGGTTTTATACGCGTGAAATTAGGGTACATAAAATCCGCAACAGAAATATAAGTGGAAGACGGAGAGCATACCCGAAATAATTCAGCGTAGTCAATTCCGAAATAGAAGTTTGATCGACAGTTACAATGACATTCTTGTTTTACGATGACACTCTTCATTTGCCTTACGTTTCGGCAACGCGCCGTCATTAGAGGTCTAAAAGAAATCTGTCATTAAATTAGATAAAAAGTGTGTTAAAAATAAAGAAGATATATACTCAAAAGCGTGTAATTTTAAAGAGACCTGTACGGCACAGAAGAGTTATTGTATCTGTAATCAAAGGAAGCCCATGTTCCAAGTTAAGAGGACATATGGGATAGAAATTGATCATTTGAAATCTTTTCAAAGAATGAAAAATTCGGCCACCGATAACATAAAAGCTTCAAAAACAAACGGATAATGTTGATAATGAGCAGAAAGATAGCGTATGAAGTTGGAATACACGTAAGTGAAAGTAGGAAGAGCATGTTGGATAGGCAGACCTAGAAAAATACATTGGAGCGTAGTGCAAATTTGATTATTCCAAGCTTTTGTAAGAGTAACCGCTACGGGACGGTTAACGGCGGCTGTCAGCGCGGTATAAAAATCTCATATTGAAATTCCGACAATGGCCAGCAATTGATTCGCTCTCAGTATAGACTTAAATTCTGGTAAGAGTGAAACTGCAGACATTGATGGAGTCATTTTGTCACAAATAAAACATTCCCTTTCAATTTTTATCACTGTCAAAGCTGCCACATCTTCGCGTATGTCAAAATCTGAACTCGGTAGGTTCAAACGATAACTGGCCGCTGAAAAACTTTTTTTATTGCTTATCTGCGGTAGGAAAAGAAGGATAAAAAATAGGCAAAATATATGGCAATAAAGTTTTTCATTCCCACGTGCCACTTTCTGAAAAACGTGAATCACTGAATTCAACCAAAAAAGTCCAATATCGTCTGCATTACATTGGTGCAGACATCAATTCTCCGAACTTAAAGATTATCCTCTGCTTGTTCTTTCAAATCGTAACCAAGAAATTCGACAAAGCACACTTGATATGTAATAGAGCTCATCAGGGACTGTAGCCATTTCATACTTTCAAAGACAAAGCTTGAATTTATCGTGTTTTTTTTAGAGAATAACTTTCAGTACAGTATTTTTGGTTTTAGTACATCCCAGTAAAGGTATCTGGGTAAGATAAATGTTCTTAGCCATTCTGTTATGCACCGAAATTGATTGATGATTTTCTTAACTCGAAATGGGACTTGGTAGTACTTGCGCATGATCTCATCAATACCTCTACAACTGAGTTGTACCGCTTTATAGATTGAAATTTGGCTAACAGCGCCAGATTCAAGCGTGGTTTGTGTTACGCCACCACTGGGGTCGTATTGAAGGGCCAACGAGAAGAGGAGACAGTCGTTATCGAGGTGACAGTAATGTTGGCGACATGATATCCGTCAACATAGGCCCGTTATGCAAAATACTCGCACTGATGTTTTGGCCCACCGTCGTAAATGTGCAGTAAGCATGATAAAAGAACCCTAAAAGCATAAGAGCATCATTATCGTAATTAGCATGTCAAATAACCTCAGTGGGTTCCAGCGAATTTTGACGTTTCTGATTATCAGGTCAGCCAAAAGAGATGGTCATTTTTGAACAAGCTATCTTGGTTTCAAAGGTGGCTTATTATTCACTTGATACAAAGTAATACTATTAGGTTGTCCGGAAATTAATGCCCGTTTTGAATTTCAACCGCAAAAAGTCATACACGTCTCTCTTCTAAATGGGTTGCAAAGTACCATTCGATAGAGCAAAGCAATCTCTACAAGAAGGCCATCTTGCTTTTGCAACAGCTCTAATCCACCACGAGTTTCGAGCCAAAAACTGAAAAGATTCAACTGCCCGAAAAATCGAAAAAAATCGTAACTCAGTTCGTAAAAATCCTACAAAAATTCTAACTTGCTCACTGTTGTGACTGTAATAGTGAAGGCTGCTAAGTAGAAATGAGTTGATAGAATAATCTCATGTTTTCCATTATGATCTGTTTATGTAAATAAGTAAGCTATAAATAGCAGCCTAGTTCGTAGAGACGTTCAGTTTTACTGCTTGTCACTGGAAGGCAGATAAAGAGTCTCCGCTGAAGCTGTTCACGAACACAACAAACTGGCGATCAGGATGAGCAGCGGAGACTCGAGAAGAAAGAAGACGAAGACTTCTTCAACGGATGGCAGAACAACGGACGGCAGAGCGATGGACGGCGGAATGACGGACGATAGACTGATGGAGGGCAGCAGTTCGATAGACGACAAGCCTATGGAGGGCAGACAGCATGTTTCTCCATTGGAGAGCGTGCTACAAGTCATGCAGGAGCAGATGCGCCTGCACCAAGAACAGATGAAAGCCATTCTTGAGGCCATCGCTCGTGGCCAGGGCGCCGGTACTGGGCAGAGCAGTACCGCAGCAGATGCGCCGAATCTTATGTGCGCTTTGAGCAATAGGATCGAGAAATTTACGTTCGATCCTGAAGCCAACCTTAGCTTCAGCCAGTGGTACGCACGCTACAAGGACGTGTTCATCGAAGATGCCAAGCCGCTAACGGAAAGTGCTAGAGTGCGACTTCTCTGTGAAAAGTTGGACAGAGAAGACTTTGAAAAGTATCAGAGACACATACTACCAAGACAAGTAAACGCTATAGGATTCGAAGAGACAGTTTCAATCCTGAAGCAGCTTTTCGACATGAAGACTTCGCCGTTTACACTAAGGTATCAGTGTCTAAAGCTGGAGAAGAAAGAGTTCGAAGATTACCTCTTGTATACTGGAAGAGTTAACGAACTCTGTGAAAAAGCGAAGATCCATGAACTGGATAGCGACGGAATCAAGTGCCTACTATGGATTTTCGGACTGAAAAGTCCAAAGGAAGCTGAAATAAGGCAAAGACTTATTGCAGTGTTGGACAAGGAGTACAAAGCCGAACATAAGATGACCCTACAAGAACTCTACTCAGAATGCGAAAATTTTCTTAGCTTGAAGAAGGATAGCGAGACTATAGCTGGAAATAACACGAGAGTGGTAGAAGCAGTCAAAGAAGAACACAGGATGTTGGAATGCTGGAACTGTTCTGGGCAGCACTTGTTCAAGGATTGCAAAGCAAAGCCGTGGTTCTGTAAGAAGTGCAAGACAACAGGGCATAAAGAAAAGTTCTGCGAACTCATCAACAGAAGAAAACTAGCTGATCAACCAAGTACCAATGCAAGAGATGTTGGAAGCAGTGGCAACGTCAGAATGAAGCGAAGAAGGAAGCAAACGAGACTTGCAACCCATCCACATGTGCGGAATATAGTGAAGATCGCAAACGCTACAATGGATGTCAACTCTCCACGAGTATATCTGGAAACGAAAGTAAATGGTCAGTCAGTAAAGTTTTTGCTTGATACAGGATCGGATATCACGCTGTTGAACGAGTTAGTCTGGAAGAAAATGGGTGCTCCATACCTTGAAAAGACGAATGTTTCTGTCAAGGACGCCAGTGGAAACTCTATGAAGATATATGGCAAACTGTGGTGCAACTTCGAGCTGAAAGGATCCAAGAGTGAAGGCTACGCGTATGTTACTCCTCACAATTCTTTGTTAGGTATCGACTGGATACGGAAGAATGAAGAGATGACCTATCACTTGGAAAGGATGATCGCAAATGTGAAGGCCGACCAGAATGATATTATGGCACAGAAGTTGAAAAATGCTTATTCAGAAGTATGCAAAGATGGTCTAGGATTATGCACCAAGGAGAAAGCAGACATGCAGGTTGGTGGAAGATTCCATCCAGTGTTCAAGACTTGCAGATCTGTCCCCCATTCTGCTTTTGAAACTGTCGAGAAGGAACTGGACAGACTCCTGGAAATTGTTGAGATGTACAATACCGCTGCGACAAGGACTGTGAAAGTTTTGAAAATGTTTGCTAGATATGAACCACTGCATACTATCGTGACTGACAATGGAACTCAGACGTCAGAACTGTTCAAGAGCATGTCTGAAGAAGAAGGAACTTTGCACAAAAAGACTGCTCCTTATCATCCCCAGTCAAATGGACAAGAAGAACGCTTCAGTGATGTCCTGAAACGTGGAATCAAGAAGCCTGAGGGGGAGGAGAGGCCCACAGGAGATGAAGGCCTACGAAGAAATAAAAGCATAGTAAAGAATATGAACCAAGAGATTCCGCCACACTTCCCACAAGAATTAAAATCACCTCCGTTAAGAACTAAACATCAACTGTCTATGCAGCCTATGGTCACAGAGAATGTCACAATCAAAAGATTCTGCGATACAGCTCATGTGATCTGATTGTTGATGTATGTTGTACTTACCAATGTAGTAGGCTAGTTTGAGTTGTAACTACCCTACTGGGGGAGGTGTTGTGACTGTAATAGTGAAGGCTGCTAAGTAGAAATGAGTTGATAGAATAATCTCATGTTTTCCATTATGATCTGTTTATGTAAATAAGTAAGCTATAAATAGCAGCCTAGTTCGTAGAGACGTTCAGTTTTACTGCTTGTCACTGGAAGGCAGATAAAGAGTCTCCGCTGAAGCTGTTCACGAACACAACACTCACGTAAACACTATCCACATAAAACATCTATATACGCCGTTGCCGTATCTTTTTCTCTGTTAGAAATCAAGAAAACGGAAATTTTAGTGCGTTTGCCAAAGTGGTGCTGTGCCGTTTTCACATAGGTGGTAGTATAACACAGACCTTTAGACGTACAAATGTAAATTTCCAGCTCTCTACAAGCTTTAGTTCGCGAGAAATTTGAATTTTTGGCTTGGACCACATGACTGGGGAAAACTGTATTCGATATTTCTCGAGAACTAAAGCTTGTAGAGAGCTGAAAATTTACGTACTTCTACAGCTTTGTAGTATACAACTGCCTATGTGCGAACGGCACAACACCACCTTAGCAAATGAACGAAAATTTCCGTTTTCTTGATTTCTAACAGAGAAAAAAATACGGCAAAGGCCTGTATAGATGCCTTATGTGAATAGTGTTTACGTGGGCAAGTTAGAATTTTTGTAGGATTTTTACGAACTAAGTTACGATTTTTCTCAGTTTTTCCGGCAGTTGAATCTTTTTAGTTTTTGGCTCGAAACTCGTGGTGGATTAAAGCTGTTGCAAAAGCAAGATGGCCTTCTTGTAGAGCTTGCTTTGCTCTATCGAATGGTACTTTGCAACCCATTTAAAAGAGAGACGTGTATGACTTTTTGCGGTTGAAATTCAAAACGGGCATTAATTTCCGGACAACCCAATACTTCTTTGCTCACATTGAGAATCCGACTTCAAATAACTTCCGAACAATGGAAATAATAATCAGCCAAAACAAACATTTTTCGCTTTCTATGCCTTAGACTAGAGAAGGCCAATCAAGCTCAAATCACTTTTGTAACGACTTCAAGGATTAGACTATTGAAAATGTTTGTTCTTGCCGTCTTTCCTCACGATTATCATAGTACCCCAAATTGAGCATATTATGATCCAATATTTTCGCAGTGTTTTCCATTTGCATAGCTAAAAAACGACTATATCATTTTGTTAGGAATAACAATTTTGTATGAATTTCCGGCTATGTGGAGAAGAAGGTTTAGCAGTGGCAATAATATAGAAAAGGCAGATATTTGTATGCTTTGAAGGTAAGGTAACTTTTCTGGGGTTGTGCCACACCCCATTAAGTTACCTCCAAAGAGAATTTTAGCGAGCATAATATACAGGGTTCAATAGCCTAAGTCTCGTAGTTTTCACGAGAGTGATTTGAGCTCAAATCGCCATCTTTGCTCAGAGTATAAGTTGGTGAAAGCACAGCCATTGAAATCGAAACACATGGGACAGACAGGATTTTGGCCTGCTTCTGATTCTATAGTTTGATGGTTATTAGGAGCAGGATTCATGGCATGGATAAATATGGAGTAAGGCTTTTTTGCATAATATACAAAAAGAGTCAGCTGATTGATTTTTGAATATAGATAAATATGTTTGTAAATGACCACTTCTTTCCATGGGCGTCCCAATATTGGGAACCCTCAGAATCAGCTACTTGACCCACGGGACTATTAGGCATGATAATTACGAACATGTTACGAATCATGCTTGGCAGTGCCTTTATGTCATGCCTACGGAAGGCAGACGATAATGCTGTCCGGCGGTTATGTGCCACACCGCATGCTCTACCCTGGAGGGCGTGCAGGAGTTCCTAGCACCTTTCCTCGCACCAACTTCGCACCAGCATTCGCACCCAGGAGGGTTCTAGCACCTCTGCGTCTCAGAGGTCAGGACCCGCCCATTACTCCTCCCATATACTGATCTCATTGTAAAGCGTGCAAGCAGAGAGAACATAGTTCAGGTCTCAAGGTAATATGAGAAAAAAAAACGGAGAAAAACGAAACACAGTTCTTAAGTGAGGCGGCTTGAAACTTCTGCTATGTCATTCTTTCAAAAAAAGAGCATATGAACATTGCTTTAAGAGGAGAAAAATAGCAGAGAATTTTTTGAATGGAAAATCCGGTTATTCGAAATATTAGAGAATGTAGTCGATCAGATGTCCAGTAATTGTCCATTACTGGACATCTGATTGAAGTAGTTTAGCATCAGGAGTTTGAGAACCCAATTCTTGCTCAACAATAGAAGGACCCACTTTGAAAGAAATATATCAAAGTTTTCGAACAAGCATTTAACGCTTTATCCAACAGGTAAGATATCTCATCACATACTTGTTTATCGTCTGCCATTATATATTCGAATGGGTTTTTCATTCCAATTACTCTAATGATCAGTAAGACTCAAATCATCATAAAGAAATTTTCAAGTGTAGTATATCCTACAATTCATGTACTAGAATACCAAACTTCGTCGCGTGATCAAAGAGTTGACTAAGAGTTCTAATTCGACACTGATTTTGCAAGATACGGTAATTCGTTATTCTTAGATGATTTTAGAACTTGCGTAAAATAAACTAACGTCTCTGTTATATACCGTGATTGGAAAACTCATTACTCTGCTTAATTCATATTAATGCGATATGTTCCACAAACCTACTCAAGAGCACTTAAAAGTTCTCAAGGAAGCGCCAATCTATCCGAAACATGAGTAAAACATGACTCGAAAATCAGCCAGCCGTTTATGGATTCTAAACTTTTGAAACCTAGAAATTTTTTCTTAGTCTCGATTCCAGTTCTATCATTCTCATATAATACAGTGAAACATGTTTTGCAGTGCGTGTACACAATTTAGAATGAGGGCACCTAGAGGAAGGAGTAATGGACGGAGCCGCCCTTTGACCCCGAAAAAGTGTAATGTCCTTTAAGGGATTTCTGGAGGTGCCAAGTACCCCTGCGAGGAAAAGCGGCCAAGCTTTGGGAACTCCTGCCACGCCGCCCTCTACTCTGGTTATCTACAAAATAGCAGCGACCCGTTGGAAAGAGCGAAACTTGGATATATTTGAGGTAGATAAAATTAGTACAAGACTTTTTCAAATCCAATTTAGAAAATTCGAAATCAGCAAATTGTTTGTATGTAAATCAACTCCGAAGTTTTAGGATGATTTTGCTAACGGGAAGGTAAGCCAGTACTTCAAATAGCATCGAGGATGCATTTTTTGATTATGGCGTTCAGTACAGTGGTATCTGTAGGTGAGGTCATGTGCAAGCACTACCACGAGCATCTAGCTAAAAAAATTATCGTATATTCCCTATGCACAAGAATGGTTAGACGCATTTACTTAGTCAGATAACTTCAGCAGATTGTGTTGTAAGTTTTTGTGGGAAGATTCATGATTTAAAGCGGATGGAAAGTTATTTCCCAAAAAAGCAAATAAATTTTGGCTTTATGTTTTTTGAAGAACTATGAAATTTATAGTCCTTGATGACTTCTAACGTAGCATGCTTGCATGTTCAAAAATCCTTGTGTTTCCGCTTTGAAAAAGATGGAAAAGGCAATTTTGGTGTTCGAAGTCTTGTTGCCTGCGCGTTATAACGCGAATATTCATAAACTTTTTTTGACAAAAGACTCTTAAAGTTTTGAATCCATTCAAGATAAAGGCATGCAGGAACTGTGGCTTTCAGAAAGCCCTACCGCCACATGCGTTCAGTGTTTTTAATCCTTGCCTTCCTTTTGAGAAGAGCTGAGAAAAAAGATCGCTTTGCCAAGCTTTTTGATGTCAGAATGTTATTGATTCTGTAAGGTTAGCGTACAAATTTTGATTTAGAAAGGGGAGGTTAAGGCTTGCTGTGAACGCTGCTCGCTCTGCTTGTGGCTGTTATGATATCAACGGTAGTTGCTTGTCAGCCCCGAATAAAGTGAACCCGTAATAAATAGTAATAAACTCACTATCTAACAAGAAGTACTTCATTCATCATCTTCAACAAGCCCATACTTTTATATCATTACAGCTTTTTATAAAGAGTAGCTTCGCAACCAGATGGAGAGATTTGAGACCACGTCTGAGTGCACAGCTCTTCTCATTTCGCTAATTCGTACTGGTGTTTTCAACTGTCAGATCTTTTCAGCTTAGAGAGAACATTGAGACATCATTGAGCTTATTCAAGTGTTTTGTTGGACTGATTGTGGAATCTACAATTGGCTGGGCATCGCTGTTTCTTGCACACATATTTCGGTAGTTTTTTACTGTCGCATCCTCAAAGATCATATCATATAATCATACCTTCTTGTTACCATTTGTAACTGCAGATCTTTTGTGGAAGAACCAATGCTGCAGAGGATATTCAACTTCGTGTTTGATATATCACTGACAGTAACACCCATCTCTATGAATCTTCTTTTGTTTTTCTGTAATCGCAAGCTCAACACGGCTTTCAAAAGGCAGTACAGCAGAGGTAATAGTGTTTCAAATTAGTTCGGTGCTAAAACAGAGATGTTTCACTAAAATTTACCTTATTGAGCTGCTGTTTTGTCAGTATGCATTCAAATTTGACTAAAATTACTAAGAGTAATAAATTAACAAAGCGCACGTGTATCATAAATAGGAAGCATAGATCCAAAAAGAGAATTTTTTAAGTTACTCTTGACAAATTTAACCATGTTCTTGAGAAGTTTTCAACAATGTGTAGAGTGGAGCAAACTGGAAACCGAATTTGCAGCGCTATGATCACGAAGCTACTGATGATTTCGAACTTAATTTTGTGCCACATGATGCTACGATCATCTTCTGCAGAACACACATCTAGCTAAAAATGCTTGCTATATGTTCTTGTAAGAATTGGATTCATCAAAACACTGCTTCCGCGGGGCGAGAAAATTAAAATTTTTAGTATTTACAGATTATCTCATAGCTAAAGATATTGTAAATATTCTACAGCATTTTGATGCATACATTATAGAGGAGGCTTTGCGCTATCACGCCGTAGTAGTTGCGTTTGCCAGATAATACTCTTTCGAGAACACAATATAAAATTTGCAAATATTACCTGCGTGCCAGTGACCATTTGTCTTTGTAAAGAATGTATTAGGTCGTTTCATAAGTCCAAACGCAAAACATCTACACACATGGTAAACGTGCGCTTAATCTTTCTTTATAGCCTCTCTTTGGAGAAGGAGACTACTTTTATATGCACCGTAGCACCACAAACAGTTGTTTCTCATCACTCATAACAACTTCAGACGAAAAATTTCCACTTGTGGCTCCGTATACGGATCGAAAGTTGTAGTTGCCGCAATCGCCAATTTTTGCCTCTCAAAAAATTTTGCTTTGATAAGTCGTAAAAGAAGGGGATTCAAATTTGCTCCAAAAACGAACAACAGTTCTTGTAGAGCAAGATTTTCTCTTTTCAATGGTATAGGTACTTTGCCGTAAACCAACCGCTTCATCGAAAAACGGCGACAAAAATAAAAAGTCGACGAACTTATGAAACGACCTAATAGAGCGCAGCAGGCACTGAGTTCTAGGATATTCTTTCCATGAATCTTCTACATAAGCATCTAATTGAATTATATCGATAAAGCAACCCCAATACTTTTACGATTATAATTTTTCGCTTCCGTTTGCGCAATTGCAGATCTCCAGTATGCGAGTACACTTGCGTTCATTCAAAATTCCACAATTTTTCCTAAATATTGCAAAATTTTCTTCATGATATGTTGTAGCCAGAAGCTTGCCCTGTCGCACTGCACATTTTCCCAAGAAAAGAAGCAGTTATCGTGAAGGCGTGAGACGAATTTCACCACGACTGCCTGCGTGTCACGACAGGTGGACTCGCCAAAATCTCTAAGAGCTGCTTTGAAGCCAAAAGAGGCAAAATCAAAATTCGAGACAGGCACTGTATTTGCGAAGGTTCGATATTATTGTACCGAACTTTATGTTTCTAAGTACTTTCTTCCTGATTTTATCTGAAGAAATACTATGTAGGCTCTCAGGCTTTTGCCTCACCCTGTAGATCTGTGGAGATAAAACAAATAAGAAATTTCTGGCTTGTGAGCCATTTCTGGAGCTCTCATACATAGTTCTGACAAAAATCTGTTGATGAAAAATCAAAGATAGGCTCGAGAAAACATGCACTGCTTTCGCATATCGACCGAATATTTGGTTTAATATGTCGTCTTCAGTATTTCGTAAAAAGCAAGGCGCTACCAGCGGCGTTGTACGCAGTCTCGTTGGTCTAGAAGGGAACAACCTCAGCGTTGATGTATGTTCAAATATGAGTCGAATATATGGCTACAATGATCATTTCAGGTCAAGGAAGAGGCCAACATTTATTTTCGACAGTTACAAAGTGCTTGGTCATAGCTGCAGTACTGAAGAATGATTTTGCAAAAAATTGCAAGAATTTATGATCCAGCTTCAAATGCAAACTTGATAAATGTTTGACTCACTTTCCTCTTTTTACCCCTCTTTCCGATTTACTTTGCACCAGTATTGTGTACAGGCCCAATGCTCTTGATCAGGTGTCACTGTCTGCTGACTAGGCTTATACTGAATTCCACAATACTCTCGTTGCTGCTAATCTTTTTACCTAAAATCCACATATCAATAGTGTTTGCGAAGAGTTCAAATAAAGAAAATCCAGAATCTCTTAGAGCAAAAACCTCAACAGCACAATGAGCAGAAGCCGATGGACCTGTTTATTCTTCCTTTTTGGCAGTAGGCGCTATCCAGACGCTGCAGTTGAGTTGCGCAGAATATGATTGACCATTTTGCTCTTGTTCAGCAATTTTTAGTGCTGAATTTTTCCGCCTGTACCAAAAAAATCTTGTTCAGGGAGCTTCTGATTAGCCCAAGGTTTTTGAAGCAATCTGATTGCGCGGTTGTCAAATCGCTCTTTTTGCTTCTGAGGTCTGCATTTTTGGAAACTGAGGGGTCGAAATAGGTCAGCTCCTCTCCAAACGATAAGTTTACTCAAACGCATGCTCAGCTGCTCTTCTTAACGATTTGCAGAACATGCGGCAAAACGACCACTTCTCAAAGAAATGAAGAGTGAATAAGAATCGAAGCACTTGTGAAACGACCTGATAGTTTGCTTCACTCTTTGCAAAGTGGGAAAGCATGGAATCTTACTCCCCCCCCATACCTATTATTAACATTTACTGTCCGGCTAATCAACAAAACACTTGCTAACTTGCAAGTGCTCACGTATGGGCCGCGTGTGTAGATACCCGGCTCCGTTCAGCTGTCAAAACATTATGATAACGGTCCCATCCCTATCCCTGTACAACCTTTCCAAGTGCCCACTTCATTCCAATTTCTATCTACGTTTCATTTCGAAGTCAGCATGCCCACATATCCCCCCCCCCTGCCCTCCCTGTGCCAACTCCCAGCCCCGTAGCTTGAAATTAGCAAAGATTTGTGAAATCGGTAGCGATCAATAACGAAAACTAGCCTACGACATGCCCACCTCCCCCCCCCCCCGCGCCCCGAAATATATGTGTGCAAGTTCGGTGCGTATCGTGAGGTTACTTACCTGATCTAAAACCTTTGTTATTGCAGACTCATCCTGTATGTTATATTCAGTATCTACTAGCTTGTCGTTGACAAGAGTTACTGTTCACTGACCATTTAAACCGCCAGGTCACGCATTTACCGTGCTTGATAGTCTATTTGACGGCGCCTACTTTCATGTAGGCGCCGCCAAATAGACTTTCACGGCAATCTTTGATTCTGTATGTGACCGTTGTTGCGGCTCGGTGGGCTCAGCATCCCCTTGCTCGCTCAACTGCACACAATCCTGCACCTACTCCTGCACACCCTAACGCGTTAGCTACTCCGGCGCGACCGACAGATACCCCGCTGGGTGGCAACAAACTTTAACAGCAATACGCGATAAATTACTAAAATTTATCTAAATAACAAACACTACACTACGAAGCAACTAAACTACGAAAATCCTAAACTACGAAGAGAGGAAATACGGGACGGGTCCGTCTCGTCCCAAGCCGCCGATCATCACCAAGTTAATTCTGAACGTAATGTCAGGGATTCCCGAGGGTCGAACGCTTACTCGCCTCCGCGTGGGACAGGTACGAGCCCTCTCCACTCCTGGTACAACCTTGAACAAAAGCTCCAAACTTTCCTCACGCATTAGCGCGGCACAAACCAAAAGCTCTAACAATCACTCTGCTCGCGAGACTTCATCCACGGGAGCTTGCTGGGGTAGCTGCCAAGCACGATCAATAAGAATACATGAGAAATCAAACTTTGAAAACGAGGTCACCGAAAACAAGGAGGCAAATGGTGCACGTTGCGCCTTAAATACCCCCTGACTTGGCAACGCGCCCAGCGATGAGAGGTCCGGGCGCGAAAACAATAACGCGCCCGATCCAGCGGCTTGCAGGGCTTCCGGCACCTGAATTGAGAGTGGCTTGCATCGCGCGAGCCGCGACAACTGTTGTTTGTCAGAAATGAGTATTCAGGTTATCCACGCCCAAAATAGTGGTGTTGGTTTGATTGGTGCCACTATCGTCAGCGCTGCCCCCTTTTATCTAATAAACAGTTTGCAACGCAGTAGTACCAGCTGGCTCATTCAAAGCTTGGATTAGCTCAGAAATAAAAATTGCTATTCCGCGCATACGTAGGTACATACGTACGTGCAGACAGACAGACGTTTAGTTTTACCTAAAAGATCTTCTACTTTTTCCTGTGATCCACGGACAAGATCGAGAATTCCCATTAGGCGCAACTCAAATCAATGTTAGGAGCACCTCATGGTGAAAGTTGGAGAGAAGTGAAAGGGAACATTAGGACTTTGGTCTTAACAATTGACTGTTTGTAAACTTGTAATAAGGAGAATATGATAGAAATAATAATTTCAATGATAACTCACTTATCTATGTAATCTGCCATATAATGAAAATAACGATCTCTCTTATTTTTGCATCGCAAAATTGGTCAAAAGAGCTGTATTTACACATAAAACCCAGAAATGTTTTAGTAACCAAGTTGAGAAAGGAGATGGAAATGTGTCATTTTTCTAAAGTGAACACAAAACCGACAAATTAGTTTTAAGTAAGTAAAAATAAGTAAATACAAAGTACAAATAAGTGATTAGCACATTTTTCACGTTTTTATTTGAAGAGAATTTGCTAATTTGCTTCATTATTTTACATTTGAGGAGATCGCAATAAAATCGCACATTGTTTGGCAGATGTGAGCTCAACGCATCAACGGTCCCAGCTTCTCCTACACTTTGCAAGACATCGAAATTGATACTTAAGCGGATCTAGGTACATACCCGGTTAGTGTTCTCATACCTGGTTAGTCTTCTAATATAAATGCTATTTGGTCTTGAGTAGCATCTGATTAGCATCACATATGACTCGTTATAGTATCGAGAAGTTTAACTCAACTTTATAACTTTTTAACTCTTAACTCTTAACTTTATACTCGGAGAAGCTGACTGGTTCACTTGAAAAGAGTACGGTAGTAGGGAAAAAGGAAAACAAATTGAAATCCGTTTGTGCGAAGGCTCGAACAGGTCTTTTCAATTAATAAGTTGTAATTAAACTTTTGCTAGACGCTAGTTAATAACAAAGACACTTGAGTGTAGGTTACATCGCCGTTACCCGTTTCTCATGACATTATAACGTCGATATTTGCGTATAGAAGCTCCATTAGCCTCATTCAGTAACATAGATCGCATTTAACAAGGAGATGCAGCGAGAATGGGTTTGGTTCCTAAACCAAGATGTGGGAAAAATAATTCTTTTTCGGACCTTCTTGTTTGGTCTTTATACTCCTCGATGAGTTAAAGGCTTTCTGTTATGAGCTATCGTTATTGTCGTCGCAAAAGGCTAGCTAAAATTTGGCTTTAAGAGAATCAGGAACTTGCTTATTACCAAAACAGCCTTTGTGGACTTATCAAAATAAAAAGTATTTTGTAAGCCACATCTCCAATTTTTCGTTTGATCATGTTGGTAAGTTTACCCAGTGATGATCAGTGCAGTTGGTTAGCTCATCAATAACCTGCCTCAATTTCTAGTATAATATCGAGTTCTTTGCAGAAAAGACTTCCTACAAGAGTATCTGTTTGAAATTCTTAGAATCTCACACTCGAACTTTATCTAATGTTCTTACCTTTCAAAAATCGAAGATAGTTCGTATACTTGAAACAATTCAGCATTAGCTTTAGGAACTCAATATATGAAAAATTTTGCAGATGTGAAAGCCGTAGTGACCGAGAAGTGTGTTTCTTTAAGAAGGGCTGAGTCAGTCAGGCGGCAATGACAACAACATTAAAACGTGCTTGCCTATGTAAATCGCCTTCCACTTCCACTAAGTTCATTTTCTCTCGTCGATCTTTATCGATTTTAGTTGTGACGCTTTTATAGAATAAGTAAAAGGAAAGACCGGTCGTACTACTCCTCCAAGATTCTTGGAAGCATAGTTTGGCTCTTATCCGCTTTCACTGTATGTGATTTATTCATAAGAAAAACTATTAAGAATTTGAATATAAGCTTTGAGAAGTCCTAAAACATCTATCAAGAGTTTGAGAACGTTACACTTGAAGTTTCCAAAAAGAGATTACCTTCATACTTTGTATTTAAATCACCAAGTAATCATCTGTGTAATTTTTAAATTTGTAAAAACCTCCTGCAAAAAAATTGGGTTTTTTAAAAATTGTTTGAAGGTTTTCTCATCAACCATTCCTATCTTTTCAATCGCAGAAATCTCTAATCATCTTTAGTAACTTACTGCTATGCCAGTGAGTTTTGAGAAACTCGAATTCCACCAGATCTAAGAGTGTGAGGACGAAGAATCAAACTTGGAGTTTCTCAAAAAGGTTACACATGATCCTACATTGAGATTAGCTGTCAACCTCTGGCACAAAATATCACAACAACTAATTTTTTAAAGAAATCCCCAACATGATGGCCCATTTGTCCAGCTGATTTTTGAAAAAAAAATAATCTCTCATTATGCTTAGGTAGAAGAAATGGAATTTTAGATATTTTATGATTGTTACAGTTCCTTCAAAGATTTTCACATTTCTTGATTTTAGTTCTCTATTCTCAGTGATTTTAAAGTCAATAAATCTTCGTCATACTCAACATTATGCAAAAATAATGCATCAGCTGGGTCAACTAACCGCATTTTTTTGTCAACCTTCACTTCAGCTTTTCTTTGCACTGTTTACTTTTGCCATTATAACCATGTAAAATCACTTTTGAATAAATTGAACGGGTGATTCATACTAAATAATGAGATAGAGCAAACAAGCCTTAAAAACGCGAAAGGCCTTACGAGGAGGTTTCATGCCAAGGAGTCGACTCTGTAACTATAAGCACTTCAATTTTTCCTCGAAATGGACCTTATTTTTCGAGCTACGCAGATTCGATTAAAAAGATATGTTTGGCGTTCTTCTGTATTTATATGACTCTTTTACTTTACTCCTCCTGTGAAAAGGTTAAACATCAACATTATATTTCGATGGGCGACAAAAGTAGAAAAAATTCACCTTAATTTTTCGTTCTTCTCTATGGATTATGTAATCTGTAAATTCTTATGGGAACTGAAATTTTCTGGTGATTGAGTAACTTGTCATAACCGAATTTGTTCGCAAATATTGCAAAGGTATTCTAGGAGGATCATAGATTCCCACGCATTACCATTATGCTAATGAAGCCTTACGTAATGGATGTTCGGTAATAAACTCGCAAATTTGCATGAAAAATGCCAAGTGCTTTTGATGTGCCGCCATTCGTACTTTTCTTTGAACACTATATCTCTTATGACAACAGATTTTCTGCATTCTTTTGGTGTTTCTGAAAATTTACTCAAATTGTTTTGCTGGGATAAAACTCTTATGATGGGCTATTAGTTTGATAATGAATAATGATTGTATAATGAGTGCACGATCTTTGTCCTCAAATTGAGAAGATGTAAAAATGTACGAAATATATTTTTAGAAGGTTTAAGGTTTCATGTATGCGGAGGTTGCGAAAAATCTGGAAAATAAAAATTTGAGCACCTGGAATTTTTTCCGCCTACAATCATGCTAATTCCCAAATTGGTCAAGCACATAGTATGCTCATAAGATATCATATGCACATTTGCCGTACTTTTTTTGTAACTGAAATTTGGTAAATAAAAATAGGCCAAAGACTCGGAGGTGTCGCTTTTTTGGATTTTTTATGTTTGCTATTGAATTTATTTTATGTTTTATATTTTAATATATTTTTTTATGTTTGAATTTGATATTTTCGACAGCTAGCATTCGAAGAAAACTACAACTTCTTGGCTACACTGATAAAGGTCTGAAGTGCACTGATTTTGCGTAACGTATCAAATTATATTTTCTCAGTTTCTACCCGCGGAAAATAGTATAGCAACTGTACATATGCATAGCTGATGAGGTAAAATTTTTGTGAGCAAGTTGGAGGTTCGTAGGATGTTTCTGAGATTCGATTCTGATCTTTGAAATTTTTTAGATTTTCCTAACTTTCCATGTATCAAACTTTCCAAAATCAATTAGATACCACCTTGTAGGGCATGCTTCGTTCTATCGAGTTATTTTATTTAAAAGATTTTATACCTTTTTCTGCTGTACAAGAATAAGCAACATGCATTGATTAAGCATCAACACAATATCTTTTTTTATTGAGAAGTCTAGAGTGAGACTGGCTAGAAGAACAAATTCATTCAGAAAAATCTTGTGAAAATTTTATACCCTTTCCCCATACTTCCTCGAAATTCCATCCTACCCGGCTCGTTCGCAATCGCAGCCGTTCGTCCTCAATTGAGGCGTTCGGCTGGTGTATGAGCCTGTCTATTGCATGGCAATGTTCGTGCTGTGTTCAATGAAGCGAACGGGTTGCGAGAAAAACGCACGAGGCCGATGAGGGGGAACCCCGAGCAATGCTAAAAAAAGGTCATCGTACTCTCTTGTTCTCGTCCCTCGTCCTCATCGTTTTATCATGGGCGCCGACGATGGACGATAAACCCCTTCGTCTCCAATGAGGCGCTTCATTAAGCTCCGCCCTATAGACTTTACCCAAAAAGTTCATAGGGTCCCCATCTTCGCTTGGCAGGCAGACTCCTTCTACTTCTTAATTTTTCTCTCATAGGGAAGCCAATTTTCCAATGCTGTTACTTTCTTTAGTGTCTTCAGAATTCCATGAAATATTGAGAAAAGATGTTTGCTTAGATTATTTCTCGACTTGCCACTGACTTATCTCTATCTTTCGCCTGCAATAACCTCCACCCTCTGATTTATTGCGCTTGTAGAAATTTGCCTCGACTGACCTGATGAAAAAATTACAAAAGACGTCCTGATGACACTAACTATTATAGTTGCCGTTTGCTAGTATAGAATACTTCCAAACAGTCAAAAAGTTTCTGGTTTTGTACAGGAGAAGAATTGATTACTTACGAGGGAATAATCAAAAATTGCCCAGTCTAAAAAATCTGCATACCATTGGATGCACCATAAAACCTAACTTTGGATCTGTATTCCATATCTGCTTAGCTCCTATGTCGGCGAAGTTATGAGCCGTTAAAAGCCGTTATTCTGTTAAGAGATGGTGCATGCAAAGCGCGAATGCAGTTCAGAGCCATGTTTGGCTTTGGGCCAAGACATGCAGCTATGTTACTTTATATTATCAAAGCCTAAAGGTGAGCTGAAAGTGCAACTATGTGCTCAATTCTGGGATTGTAATGTACGATTCTTTCGCAATAAAACTGCTCATAACTTCGTCCAGAAAGGCGCTAAGCAGATTTGGAATACAGATTTGAAATCAGCGTTGAATGCTTCATCGAATGACAAACAGCTGCTTAAATTGGCCACTTCGACTTCTGTACTTCTCTTGTCAGGAGCTTAAAAGTGATTAGGAGTCACTGTAGAAAAAAATTGAGTCTGAAGTTTAAAACAAGGATTTTCATTTTTTTTTAAATTTTGAAACATGTAGACTATGCTATATTCTAACGTGGTCCAGCACACTACTTAATCAAAATGACTTTGTCAATTCTGTTAGAAAGAAGTATAAAGCCGAGTCTGCCACTAGCTTATCAGGATTCTTGTCCTTTCTACATCCTCTCCCTTCCCTCCCTCCTCGCACTTCAGTTCTCTGCTCCTTTATGTGGTTTAGAACAAATATACCTTTGCACCAGTACATACAGCTAATATACAGGGTGTCCCAAAAGTAAGTGCACACTTTTTAATCGTTAATATCTCTCTTCCCAATGGGTCTTTTTTTGCCAGTCAAGTACCGTTCTGTAGAGCTGGCTTCAACTTAGATTTATATCATGGAGCGAATCACCGATCGCTCTTCATTACTGTAGGATTAGTGTGGGAACTTCGACAAGGTTTTTAGACCATCGAAAGCCACATTCTGCCTCGAAACAAAACCAAACAAGCCAAGGAAATCTTATACTATAATAATGGAAGACGCTGATTTTGAATATGAAATTTCCACTTTACTGTGATGCTTCTTACCAAAGTATCCTACGTAAACAGTAATAACCGGTATTTGTAACCGGAATTCCAGTATTTGTCAGAAATGTGATCACACCGTCAAAAAAGCTGAAATTGTTTGTAAAAAGTCGTGTACTGGAATTAGCCTGCGCGAAAACCTTAGTACACAAATTTTCAGATTTTTTTGAAAGAAGTTTTGTCATTTGCCATGTTTCACAATGGTTCCACATGCTGGAAGTTCTTACCGTAATCCTACAGTAACGAAAAGCGATCGGCGATTCGATCAAAACTGTAAATCTAAGTTGAAGCCTCCTCTACAGAATGGTACTTGAGTGGCCAAAAAGACCCATTGCGAAGAGGAGATATTGACGATTGAAAAGTGTGTACTTACTTTTGGGACACCCTGTATTTCTGGAGGCATAAATATCCCGTTTAATGACTTTCGGACATAAATTGTTACCGAAACCAGTATCTATGAGAATGTTCTAGTTTTTTGATGATCATGCTACTTTTGACTTCCAAAAATTTTGCAAATGTTGAGCTATGCATCAATTTAGAATTGAAAAAATGTTCATTTTATGTGAAAATGGCTCGAATGCTTTCCTCATTGTCAGTTTATTTTTCTCTTTAGATGTACACTATTCTTTAGATTAATCTCGGAATTTTCAGAAGACTCCATCGAAAAGCTGGCTTGCTTTTTACGGGTACATTCATGGATCTGGACACTTTGGCCAGCGAGTTGAACGGGCTCTTAGTTGCTAGGTACAGTATTTGTATAAGGAGATTTTTAGTGTTTTGTAGGTTTCTCACCTTGGGAAATCCCAAACTTCTCCGTTGTTTATTTGGCTTGGGGTTACGGTAGTATCGGCGCAACGTCGGCGTTAATTTAGTAGTCATTTCGCTTGATGAATCACGTCCTTGTGACTAACAGCATCATTGCCAATGCCCAAATGAATCTGAGCGTTTGGGAAAGCAGTTTGTTAGAATGGGAGAGACAACAGAAAAGAACATTGTGCAGTAAATGAGATGTATGTACTGCAAGAGGGGTGGAGAGGGGGCGAAAGGAAGAGAAGAGATGCCGTTTTGTATAAGCACAAATTTGTGGCGCTTTTGAAAAAGGCAAACAAAATACCTCTAAAAAGAGTACAAGTTTTCGGCCAACTATATGTCACAGAAAGCATAAAATTTTTCAAGTGTTAATTACCAATTTATTAGGTTGGAAACTAAGTTCCGCAACTCTCCTCATAATTTCACTCTTTTCAAATGATGCACACTCAAATTTTGGCAATATGTAGAAGGTAATGCGTTCTACAACTGCACAAATGCACAAACAGCGTAAAGTTGAACACCACTTAGGAGAACTCGGAGCGTTTTTCGAAAACTGGATTTTGAGAATTTTTGGGGTTGCAAGCCAAAATGAAGCCTTTAGCAACCTAGACTACATACAATGATCCGAAATTGTACGAGTCATTTGTAACTTAATATGTGAGATTGCACACTAAGACCTATTATCGACGGCACCCACACTGGTACTTCCACGTAAAACATTTCTAGCCTAAACAAAACAACCAATTACAGCAAAAGAAACAAGGAAACAAGGAAAAATCACTGGAAATGACCAGGTTCTAGTCATGGATTTCGTCAGTTAACGTGTATAGTGTGCACTACGCACATTAACCTACAAGCGATTCGACATTATGTAAATTACTGCTAAGAAATGATTTATTTAGCTCAACAGAAAAGAAATGAAATTTGGAGGTAACTCGAGATTTGACGCCCTTGTGAAGTTGAACAAGCTGCTGTACGCAATGCTGCTGGAAACAACCGTCAATGACTGAGGAGATGGAACCTCAAAATTTGCTAAGACTTCGCATATTGGGATTATATGACCCAACAAATGCCAATATCATATTCATTTATAAAATCAGCGTCTCTTCTTTTGATTAGGGTGAAAGCTTAAACCGTAAACCTACAGTATTCTCAGAAAAAAAGCTTTATCATACAAATTCAGTATCGTTTTCGTGATCAGCATGTCGAATGACCTCCGTGTCAAGTTTCAGCCATCTGTGACATTTTATAATTCTTCTCCTCTACCATATACCTACCGTGACCATGACCGCCACGCAGAATTTGGAGGGAGAGCAGCTGCTTTCGTACCTTACGTAAAAATCCAAATAGTGGCAAAATTTGAGTGCGCCCTTTTGAAAAAGAAGGAAGTTATTGAAGTAGTTGCAAAACTCAATTTCCAATCTAATATTTCCCTCAATTATGTAATTTTTAGTGATCGCCTTCGCAGTTTTCAATCATGCTACAATGATGTATGTATCGAAGAGTTGATGCTAAACGAAGTGAGAGAACACCTATCAAATTGTAGAAAAACTGAAGAAGATCTGGAAAATGAACGAAAGAGTCATGCGGAAGAGCTGCGACAAATCAATCAGGTGCTTATCCTCTTACATTCAATAATTTATTTCCTGAGATACAAGATTTAGGACATTAATCAACTTGAAGATATCTTGAAAGCCTTACGATCTGAGCGAGAAGCTAAAAAAATGAAGTTGACAAAACAAATGGAGGAATTACGGGTTGCTATGGAACAAGCTAATGAAAGCATTCGGGTAATCAATATCCATTTTTTTCGGAATTTGAAGCCTTTTACATTGTGGTTTAGGCCGCTGAAATAGTCGATATGTATTTTGAAGAAAGCGACAGTATACCCAAGGAACTTTTTGAGGGGTGGGTAAAATTGAAAAAAGAAATTGTTCATGATCTACCCTCTATTTCAAGGTTCTTTAACACTTCGCCAGTGAAACCTTCCATAGCGTCACTATCATTTCTTGGTAACCATTTCCCATTCTTACCTGCGCTAACCATGACCACACCCAAAACGCCTTCGCAGGATATGAGCAAGATGAAGGTATGCGTAGCTTTGGTCAAGCAACACATACATAATTATACAGTGTACACTGTGTAATTGCAGACTTGCGAAGCTTGTGGGGCCCAAATACATCGAAATGCTCCCACATGTCCTATGTGTAAAACACGTAGCCGAAGCAAAAACCCAAAACGTTCGAAAAAACGGGATGACTGACAGGCATCATGTAATATCTTCTAAACGATAACTTATTTACTATGCGATAAACTAATTGTTCATTTACACTTTTACTCTTCATCAGTGTTTCCAAAATTTTTCGCCGAAATAGCCGCTAGCCTCGAGAAAGATCTTGAAAACAAGACTTTGAAGTTTTCAAAAGCGTCAAGTTGGGGAAAGTTATGGCACCGCGGCGATGCGTTTATGTCGTCAATGCTCTCAGTTAAAGATCTTTGAAAGGAAATTTCTAAACTTTTAAGAGTACTTTTGGACTGCTCAGACAAAGCTGATTTCAAATAATCAAGTAATCCGATGGAATAGAATTCAAAAGCGCGCTTATGTCGCAGGATTTCAAGGGAACAGTGGTGTAAGTGTACATATAAGCAAAGCACTCGCTCATTGCTAAAATTCATGTAGCAACATTCAAAATTCATTCTCGGAAGGGAGGGAGGGGGCACTGGTGTGCCTGTATCGAAGCATCCTGGGCTTGCTACAGTAGATGGTTACTTACTTCTCATTTTATAGCTTTGCCATATCATACTAGTCACTGCATTGTATGGCATCATATCTATTGTCTAAGTGCTTCACTGACATCATACATCATCAGAAGTTTGAGTAAAATTTTCTGGTATGGGCTGCTGCATGACGAAGGCGCAATATCTTTGGACGCGAACGCGGTTTCATTAGCCGCAGAGCGCATGAGGCGCAGGATTTACAACTATAGGAAGATAGGGGCGCGCAACGCCAGCGCCCGCTCAACTAATGCTACTTATGCGCCTTCGTCATGCAGCAGCCTTTAGAATCTTCTCATGTATAATAATTGGAAAGCCTCAAGCAACTTTTGCCCAACTTTATGTAGTCCATCGGCCCAAATCAATTGCGAATGGCTCCCATCACCGTACTCTTTCCGAGCGGACCAATCAGCTTTTCCTAGTACGGAATGAAAGTTGCAGTTTTTTAGAATGATTTCGATGTCTTGCAAAGTGTAGGAGGTTCTGGGTTACAGTTAATTTGATGAGCTTTTCAAATTCAGCGAACTGTACTACCCATGGAAACTCGACCAAGTGTGTAGAAATGACGTGAATCAGCACTTTTCCTCACAAAAAGTGTACAACTTTGCTGTGCATAGTACTTTTAAAATAACTATGCAATTTTTCTGTCAATTATCAATCAACTGGAAAAACTTTGAAATTTCTGAAAACCAGCACTTTTGACTAATTTTGGGTGCAAAAACGACACAGCTGTCTTTTTATGACAGACTATCTAAATAATGCAATATGTTCCAAATTTAGTTTCATTTTCTTCTCGTAAGTTTTTTACAAACAAAAAACCAAATGTGCAGACAGAGAATGATAGAATAGTTACAAGTCAGACGACTCAGTGTTCCTTCCTAAATTCCCCTTTCGACTTTCTCCGAGATGTGCTCCTAAAACTCATCTGATTGTGAACTGTACCAAACGGTAGGCCTCGATCTTGTCCTTGAATCATCGGAAGTACAGGGGGAAATGCTGAATAAAGGCGACATATTTGAGATGTCCACTTCCTCTATATATCATGCGTAAGTTTTCTGCTTACCAATGCCGCCATCAAACCTCGGTCTTCGAGTAGGATAGATCAGTGATGGGTCGATAACAGGTTCTTCAAAAATTCACTGGTTGTTCTGCATAAAATTATGATACTTCCTAATGCATTTTCCGTTACCTCTACTATTGTCCGATCCAAGTTCATCTGACTCTGAGAACAGGGCAGGCGGCAGTGATTTTGAAAGAGGCATGCTTAAGCCACGAAACTTCTGAACAAATATGATTTCCTAAATATATTCGAAATACTAGTCTACCTCTTTGCCATTCATATCGTCCTTATCTGTTTTAGTTATATGACCAATGACGAGCTTCTTTGGAATTTTTTTGCCCCATCTGTTCGATTCAACGAGATGCAGTTTGTGATCTGGAATTTCATGTAAAACAAATATGAGTGTGTGAAGTTACAGAAGACAGTAAATACTAGAGTGGATAATTAAATCAAATCAGCGACTTATATGGAAATCAATATGGATAATTTCTGAAGTGTTGAAGCTGAAAGTGTTTGAATTCATTGAGTAAACTTACAGCTGGAGTTTCCACCACATAGATTTTGTGAATTGATTGTCATTCCAAAAGTTTTCCAAACAATGGGGAGTGTGTTATCACAGTTCTACACACGCTAACGTCAACAAGAACTTAGAGCTCACACCTGCTTAGGTTCAGTAGTATTTTTGTCCAATAACAGAAATTTCAAAGATTTTTGAGGATTTAGAGCTAGACTCCGCTTTCAAAAAGCAATATTATCCAACGAGGGCAACCCAGACTAGTAACTTTTTGGTGAAAACTTTCCTAGGCTAATTAAAGTGTAGAAATATGTTTTACTAATTGATATATATCCAACAGAAACAAAGGATGCAAGGAAACAAGGAGAAATCCTTCTTATACAGTGACCGCCAAAAAGTTGCGGACAAGCCTCCCTCCCTTTTTCATCGCTCTTTTTCAGGGTGAAAACAAGGATGAAAAAATGTAATTATTGCATGAGGTGATAGAGCTCTTCAAGATCTACAATCTACACTCTGCGTTTCTTGAGAAACACGTGTTCTAAAAATTTTAAGAATCTTTTTCCAAAAAAAGTCCGAAAATGGCCGCGTCACAATGTCGCGGACAATAATTCTTCGAACGCAAAAATTTTCTTTTGAGTCCTATTTTAAAGCGGAAACGCAAGTTATCCGGAGGGGTAAGCATACTACTATACAGAGCTCGTCAAGAACTACACACTGGTTATGGTTGCTTCCCCAAAAAACGCAAGCTTGAGTTTTATTTTACTTTTTTCAAAAAACAACTTCTAATTTCCTTTATCAAGCCAAATTTCTTCACACGGAAACCTGTTCAAGACATCCCAACAAAGCCGTCTGGGTAAAATAGATGCCCCTTGCCATCCTCTAAGCATCGGACATGTGCTGATGAGTTTCTTTGCTCAAAATGGCTCTTGGCAGTGCTTGCACATGACCCCACCCGCACCTCACCACTGACTTGTACCGCTTTGCAGGCTTGTAACTCGGCCTGCGTCAATATTTGAGCCTGCAATTAGGCTCATTCGAAAGGACGAGACTTCTTCTATACGATGATATGCGAATGAATTGAGTATGAGAATTTCAGAGATTTGGCGGATGGGGTGAAAAAGTGCAGCCTTAGCGGTGAAAGCTCTTACGAACACCAGAACAGTCTTAGAGCTTCGAAATGGATTTATTACAAGAAAATTGACAGTTTTGAACTTTCAGGATGAAATTGGTAGCAGAAGGAGCTCTCTTCAACTCTAGCTGGAAAGTGCTTAGACTACAACCGAAGCTGCCCTCTACCACCCCATCCGCCAAATCTCTGGGATTGCTCAAACTGAACTTATTTGCATATCATCGTGTAGAGGAGGTCTCGTTCTTTCGAATGAGCCTAACTGCAGGCTCAAATATTGACAGCAGGCCGAGTTACAAGCCTGCAAAGCGGTACAAGTCAGTGGTGAGGTGCAGCTGGGGTCATGTGCAAGCACTGCCAAGGGCCATTTTCAGCAAAGAAACTCACCAGCAACGTCCGATGCATACAGGATCTCAAAGAGCATCCATCTTATCCAAATGGCTTTGTTAAGATATCTTGAATAGGTTTCCATGTGAAGAAATTTGGCTTGAAAAAGGGAATTAGAATTAATTTTTTGAAAAAGCAAAATAAAACTCAAGCTTGCGTTTTTTTGGGAAGCAACCATAACCAGTGTGTAGTTTCTTGACGAGCTCTGTATAGTAGTATGCTTACCCCTACGGATAACTTGTGTTTCCGCTTTAAAATAGGACTCAAAAGAAAATTCTTGCTTTCGAAGAATTATTGTCCGCGACATTGTGACGCGGCCATTTTCGGACTTTTTTTAGAAAAAGATTCTTAAAATTTTTAGAACACGTGTTTCTCAAGAAACTCAGAGTGTAGATTGTAGATCTTGAAGAGCTCTATCACCTCATGCAATAATTACATTTTTTTCATTCTTGTTTTCACCCTGAAAAAGAGCGATGAAAAGGGAGGGGGGCTTGTCCGCAACATTTTGGCGGTCACTGTATATGAACTGGAAACATTCGGCAAGACAACTACACATTGTTCACCCACCCTAACGCCCCCCTTCAGGGTTGCGGAGGGCGAGTTCACCAAAAATGAGCAGGTTCCGGTTTTGCAGTTTGTTAGGTAGCGCGTATGGTGTGCAGTACGCATTAAGTTACGAACAACTCGACGACACAAGAAAATTGTTGCCATCAAACGGCGAATGGGTTTGTTCAACATGTTTTTCGTGACGACTATTGGGCATTTGAAAAATCGTGACGATGACCGTGCGCGACACGCACGCACTGCCAACAACCGCAATTTCCTCGTTCTCATTACCAGTCAAATAGTTTTTCTGCTCACGTATGATACGCTGAGCGCTGAGGTGATGCCTTTTTGTACGAGTTGCAAAGACCGCAGTCAAACCCGTCATCATGATTTTATGAATGAGCTATACCTTTATGCAGCCGCAAAATTGTAATTAATGAATGACCGCCAAGTACGTCTAAATATAGGCGAGTCATCACATGCAAAATCTGGTCGCAATTGCGTCCGGCATAGAGAATGAAGTCACGAGAGAGACAGCAGACGGCGAGAGGATAGAAGGAGCGCTTGACTAGAAAGACGCAGACGGCGACGGTAAAATTTTAACATGGTATCCTCTTAGAAGCTATTGAAGCTGCTTTGAGATAGTTTGCCCAAGTATTACTCAAACCACTGCGTGTTCAGCCAAAACCAGTTGTTATCATAGCTTTAGCGGTGTGGTTGTTTGGTATAGTAACGATAAGAGCCCCTCAAAAGCCCAAATCACAGAAGCGGTTGGTGATTTAGAAAGAAATCTATTAAAAAATACACAGTCACTGAGTGTGCATGTCAACTGTTATTCGGTCTAATATTGTTCCGGAACCTCCCTAACTTTACTTTTTGTCGTACCATCTTGTTATTTCAATGTGATTGGTGCAAATTTCGCCAAAAGAAGATTAGATATTCATGGAGCTGAAGATATTCATCAAAGCGCCTTGGGGAGAAGCTCCATGGTAAGTTTCAAACAAGAAGCAGGAGAAGAAAACCACGGTGACCGGAAGTTTGAATCGTTGCAATAAAATTCTTAAACTATCAGGTTGATGCACAATTTATGCACCAAAAAATAGAAGAAAATCGCCTTAAAAAGTGCCAAACAAACTAAACAACTTACACAATACACTCATTATTATGTATATCAAAAGTTATATAGTGTACTTTAAAAAATCAATATCAAACAAATCAACAAGCTGGTTTTACAAAGTTGAATTCACAGTTATTGACAGAGACATACAATCACTACCAACTTCTCCCAGTCAAGAAAATTAGGTCATAAAGCCAAGACCAAAAATAAAGCTGATCTAGTACACTTTTTAGCAGTTATAGCAATTGAAAATCGAAAAATCACTTTTGAGTATTTCTCTTAATCATCTTATAATCACTGCCATACGCCCTCAAGGAATTTTAGCACAAAACATTTCAAAAGCGCAAAATTTGCTCTTTCTATAGTCTAGCAAATCAAAAGATTTCATTGATGCTGGAGAAAGTAATAGAATTTCAGAAATTTTGGTGCAAGATTTATGCATCAACCTATTATCAGTGAAACAGGTTTTCTGACTTAATTTCAATAAAGAAAGGTTTTGATGTTTCAAATTCTAGAAAGACATACTATCCAGGAGAAAAAACAAAATATTAAGACTGTAATTTCCATCTGCAAACTCGAAAATGACATGTTATGGAAATGTCGAACCGCACAAATTTTGCTTGTTAAGAAGGTTCTCACAAAAGCTTTGCTGATGATATTTCCAGGTTTGCAAAGTTTCACATTTATGGCGAATGTACTACTATGAACTAACAAAGCTTAGCTTCTTCTTGCATTTTTATATCTGCTGTAAAGCTTCAAATCACATAGCAAAATAAATGCTTTTTTCTTCTCAAACAAATTAGGGGCAAGCAAATCCGTTGTAATAGTAAGAAATACCAAATTTCAAATAGCAGTAGTTCCAGAGTAACTCAATTGCTGAAGTCATTGACGCGTCTCAGCTTACTGATAATTTTTTTGAGAATACATGTACACTTACCATTCCCAAGAATCCGAGAAGTCGAAAGATTGATAAGCGTTAATAACAAGGGAAGGCTGACTACATAGCAAGGCATCGCTGCCAAAGGTGAAGGTGCTTTGAAGCAACAGTCCTCGAAAACTTGCCTTAGCGAGCGCTATAACTTGCTTGCCATTGCCATTTGATTACACTTGTGGAACGAATTAACCACCATTTGGCAGAAATGTGAACAGCTTCAACTGCTGTAAACTACTTGTTCAAGAGGCAAAGAAATGAGTTCTCTGCAAGATGAAACAGAGGTCCGATACTAGGATGCATAATATCAAAAGTTTCAAGTATTTTTTGTTGGCCGCTGCACGAAATCCCAAGGAAGAAAGTATGAAAAATTGAACATCTAGGATGAAGGGAATTGCATTTGAAATGTACATCGGCAGCTTCCGCAGTCGCTTGTCCATTGATAGAAAACGCAGAGTTGAAATGTTTTGAGATTGGCGCAAAAGTAATGCGCGTTTTGCGAGTTCTCACTTGGACGTGCTATAACTTTCTAAAAATCTATATTTTTCAATTCTATCAAGACTATAAGAAGCAGCAAACCTTTCGCAATATAGCGCACCTCCATCTATACTCATATCACAAACGGGCAGAAAAATATGATTTGATAAGCAAAAAGTTTTTTTTTCTGAAAGCTTGTTTTAACAATCATAACTCCCTTCAAAATTTGCTACATGAATGATAAGTGACCTCTTGTATCCTCAAGCCGATAGTCTAAATGAAGACAAAATGAACCTGGATAAAAAAGATTTATAAAGAAAAAATCGAAATCCGAATTTTCCACTTTTTTCGAGCGTATTTTTACAGGCTTCAAAGTCCCAAATTATAGAGTTTTTGATTTTTTGCGTGTTGAACAGTTGATTGCTCTTGCAAAAACTGTCAACGGCTCACCCTTACGCTTACAGAAATGAGCATAGCTTTGGCGATAGCTTTCTTCAAAGGAAAATTATGGGCCACAGAATGACCAGAACGACTATCCATGTTGAGGCGCCGAGATCTCAGACTAGGTAATTTATAAGAAAATGGTAAAGTAAGCATAATGTAGACAGTTTTAATTACTTACAGTAGCGGAATTTTCAAAAAAAATCCGTTTATTCGTACTTGGATTCTGACTAGGAATGCAAAGGGTACGAAATTCTAGTTTCGACGCGGTTGACTGAAGCCCTGTAAATTTTAACGAATGAAGTTAGAAGCCCATTTTAGCTAACATTGGATAGAGCATGATAAGACGGATAGTGTGCTAAGTTTTCTCCAAAGAAGAACGTTTCATAGAAAAAAGTTATTCTGAAACAAGGGCTAGAAAACGCGCGTTACTTTTGTACCAACCTAATATTTTTCGAACAATCTGAAAACAAGAAATCTTTCAACCCAGTAGTCGTCGAACCCAAGAGTCTGCACGGGAAGTAATTCTTTGACTTGAGAGGGGAGAAGTATAGTTATTTTGAGAACTGTATGCAAAGCCTCAGCTGTGGTCAGAGTAAAAAATAGTTCCTCAAAAATCAACAAAAGCGAAAAGATAGGAAAAGTTTGGGGAAGGTGAGAATGACGCATTCAAATTTTTACAATTTATTAGCTAATCAGGGGCAAAACTTTGCACCAGGTGGCCTTTAAAAACTTCGAAAAACGAAGTTTCTGTCTTGGCAGAATTTCGGTGTGTCTTGTGTGCTTAGAGCGAAACATAAATTAGGAACAGAGAATAGAAAAAGGGGAAACAGGGCAAAACACTTGTTGTAAGGAATGGACGAGGTTTATACTGTCGGCATGTTATCTTAAGCGCACTAGTGCTCGCTGGAACAAGATCTTTTCAACTTTTCAACTATTTTAGAAGTTGTAATTAAACGAAATTAAATGAAATGATCTGAATTATTTGAGAGCGTACAAATAGGAGAACACGTAAATAAGATTCAGTTGGTGCTATTCAACCTGAGACTGGAGTTGTTAAACTCACACCAACCGTATGGAATGCTGCACTGTACTAGTACGAAATTTGTCGACTTTCTGGCTTCATTTGCAGTCTACGCACTGAGATACTTACAAAAGTATCACCGGACGCAACCCATCGTCTAATATTCATGCATTGGTGAAAGGGCATTTTGAAACCGCCTTTTCAAAACTTTCAAAATCTTAGTTTCCTCGGCTTTTAGCCCGTAAAAAATACAGCAGCGGCACATACGCATGTCTTAGGTGGAGTATATATGCGTGAGCGAGTGAGACATCTTGCACGTTTCCTTTGAATTGATATACAATTTTTTTGAATTTTTCTCGAAATCCGAGACATCCTTTCGGCTTCCCGCTTGAAAAAAAAATACTAGAGCAAACGCTTACCTGTCATTTTATAGAGCTTGTTCTGCTCTATCAAATGATTCCATTGCTAATGAGAATTGAGAGGCTCATGGCTTATTACGATTTAAAGACAAAATTGGAAAATTATAAGACTACTTAATAGTTTGATTCATGTAGTTAACTGCAAGCATGAAAGAAGATAGCATAACACTTGTTGAAGTTTTTTATTGTGTGATCGGACTTGTCATGTTCTGGCTCAGTTTAGGTATAGTTATGAGGAATGCAAACTTTGTCTGAACAGAGAGTTTTGTTCCAAGAAAAGTCTTTATGAAACCTGGCAAAAAACAATAAGAAACCAGCAAGAGCAATGGCAAATGCTCTTAATCAATCATAGCAATCACTTGAGATAAGAAACGGTTACTGCTGAAGTTTTGTTACTTCCATCAGAGGTTGAACAAGTCATTCTCGCAGGCGCAGTTGCTCTTCCACTATTAACCATATGTAAAAGTGCTTCACGAAATTTTTGGGAAAACATGTTGTATAGGATAGGGTTTACGGCACAGTTCAGATAATAACAACATGCTGAATAAATCTATGAAATCCGATATTTGCATTAAGCAAGGGGCATACCTCATGCGATTTCAGTCGCCACGCGATCTGGCAATTTGCCAGATGTCTTCAAATTCAAAACTGTTAGACCCCAAATCCACAGCATGTATAACTTTCGTAGGTGGATAAAATGCTCCATCTTCCGTGTCAGAAACCCCGTACGATGAGTTATGAACATTTGGAGTATTGCCAAATCGCGTCGCGACTGAAATCGCGTGAGGTATGCCCGAGGCCTTACATTACTTACCCGCTATGCTACCAGCGACTGCCCCCTCGAGCGGCGTCAAATTCAGCACAGGAAAAAGATTATTCAATCGCAATATCTGAGCTGGCGACCAGCAAATCAAGAAGGACACAACCACAGCCACTGAAAAAAGTGACGTTATTGAGGTAAAGGCACGATGTAAATGGCACTTGGCAAGTTTGAACTAAACGAGAGAGCTAAATATTTAGAATTGTACCGAGGACGGTAAATTTGTAAATATTTGGCAAATAGATCGCGTGTAGGCGTAAATTGGCGGAGTCGATTGAGGTATGATCGATCCGATGCATCAAGACTTGCTTACCGAGAAGGCTGATCATCTTGGTGGAAGCTCTAGAGCATTCCGTCTGAACTGTGTGAGCCGCTCGGCGTGCAGTGGCCGCAATTTGGAAGCTCATGGTTGCAAGCATTAAAACTAAAATTCATACTTCCAGAAAGGCTTTTACGTAAAACGCTGAAGAGCCAACCTGGGATCAAATAAGAAAATACGAATATTATGAGCGTCGTGTAAGTATAGAAATCCGATACATCCCCAAAACATATTTCGATAGTCTTATTTCCGCCTATCTGAAATTATAATGATTTCTAACATTGCGAAATGCTGACCAGAGTGTCTTCGTCATCATAGTCATGGTGAGAAAGCTGTCCACAGTTGGGTCTATCTCCAGTAACACTACAAAGTTTTTCAAATTATCACACATTATGCTAATCATCAAGGCTTTGGAATTACAGCCAGGTCCAGCAGTGAATCTTAAAAGCAGGCTGGACCTCTGTTTTTTTTGACGAAAAAGCAAAAGGGGTATCATACAACATGCTACTCAGACATGACCACTCAGACAACGCTTCATAAACAAGTGCCAAATGATTAAAAAGCTCCAGCATGATCTTTCACGAAGCTTGCGCAGTTCGAGTGTAATGCAAATAAAGAAATGGCTCGTTTACGCGCAGAGACATGCACATGACACCAAATTTGGGCTATATGTATAACATTCATGAAGAATTTTCGTGTGAAAAGTTATAAAAATATGTGATGTACCTTTTTCCTAATCTTCTTCCAGGAAGCCAAGGGAACGAACCGAACCATGCATTTCTGTGAGTTCACAAAAATGTTTTGTCTATCACGAACGACCGAGGACAGATTATATCGTAACCTTTCCTTGATTTTTGGTTTCAATCTGTCCAGATGGCTTGTTAGGCGTATAGCGCCCCAACGCCAACTCCTTGTGCATTTAAGCATTCCGAGTTCTTTTCGTGTTTTGCTCTTGAACCCAAACATATTTGACAATACCTTCCTATATATTTTCTTTTAGTTCTGTCCATTGCAAAGTTTTTTTCCGTTTTGGAGAAGGACGAGCTAAGACTTTGAAGGCTACTCGACGCAGTTTCTCTTCGTCTCCCGCCCCTCATGTTGTAGTTATATTTGCTTTGTGTTTAAAATGAATGCGGAATTTTAAACTTATTTCTATCATGCTCAACATTGGTAATTTTTCACAACTTTATTTTGAAGTTCTTATTTTGAAGTTCTGGAAGAGTTTTGACAACAGCTAGATATGTGAAGCAAACAAAGTGCACCACTACAAATTTGGCCACCTTCACCTGACTTCTAGAATTACCAATTATTCTTCTAATCTTAACAAATTCTAACATTGGTCAACTCCTCGCAGAACATTAACCGATAAGCAACTCGGGTGTTTTCAGCAACTTCTCCTCCTTTTCTTGATAGGCGTTTTTTCCCAGTCTGGGAAATTTGGCCATGAAATTATTCATATTGTGAATTTTCGAACGTTTCTATGGCTGCACTCAGAATTTCAAAATTCGGCATCGCGAAGCGGGAAACGCCCGTTTGCATTGTGTTAGTGTCGGATAAAAATCGAGTCTTGAAATCTCTTTGGTTCGTATGTCATACGACTGTGCAAATGTGCAGACCTTTAGAAAATTTTGAGAGACCTGGAAAGCAGGTAGAACGAACAAAAAATCTTTGTTGTACTGCACCACTTCAAAAGTAATAGTTTTTATTTTCAATTCGGAGCTAATTCTCCCAATTAAGGCACTTTTTCGTTTTTTTCTCCAATTTTTTTGATTCGCGATGAATTTCATTTAAAAAAAATTCACATTAAAAAAATACAAAGGGGGGGGGGGTATTGCACGAAACTGCTAAAATAATGGGAAACTGACTTTCAGAAAACTCTTTATTACTCCCTTTCACCTTGATTCGGCATATTTCGATACGGAATTCTTAGTTCGAAATTACAGCTAGTCGGTTCATGAGTTACTAAATGAGAACGGGGCCTAGTATATGCAAAGATATGCTCTGCGTACGTGCTAATGACCTTGCTGACAACTCATGACTTCCATGGTTATGTTACGGCAAGCCTTTCGGGTAGATAAGTTCCGCTCCCCGGCAGCTCGCGGTATGGATGAGTGGTCGGGCAAGCACCTGTGAACTTTCCTATGCATTTGTCTGAGCATAGACAATGAATTGACACAACTGATAGCAACATATGCAGGACGAGCTAAAGACAGATTAGTCTGCTTCTTGGGCTTCATGCAAGCCAAAGCATGCGTAAACCCTGGGTGTTCAGGGGAGGTAGGCATCAAAATTTTGAAGAGTTTCTTGTTATTAAAAAATTCAAAAATGAAGTACAAAGGGGATCAAAGATGATCGAAACTGATAGAGTTGTAGGAGATGATTTTTTAATTGCAAGGCAATCCAACCGCTTCGGTAGGTGATCGATCACTCAAGCATGCACAAATCGCAATGGAACATCCAAGGGGTGGCCGAAGCATTCGTTAGCCACGTACTCTGAAAGTTTTTTTGGTGTGCTTTCCAAAATTTTCGTAGGGCCATGACCCCGAGACTCGAAAAAAAGTGGAAATATTTTTTATGAGGTTGAAATGGTTTTACAAAAATTTTCAAGGTTTTCAATTAACCACAAGAATGAAATAAGTCACTTGCACATTTTTTCAACTTATGTAAGTAACTTAGAAAAATATCGCTACCTTTTCCTAGAAGGCCTAGCCTCCCTCGGTACGTCACTGGGTACCAGATATTTGAGCGGGGGTAGAGAGAACATGGGAGGAAGAGGAAAAGCGAATAGTCACTGGAAATAGCAGAATAAAGCTAAATATGAGTGTAGCACAGTGCAGAAAAGAAAAGATAGCAAAGATTTCGGTTAAAAGGGCGAAAACCCCCCATACATTTGCTGAGAGATTCGACGAGAAAGAAGGTAGTAACCAAAGAAGATGCTTTAACTGTAGAAAATATGGACATAGGGGAGAGATGTCCATGCGAACGCGTTCATGCAAATCAGATAGAGAAGAGTAAAGGATCCTAAAAGGCGAGAAGACGGATAAGCTAATCTGATGGCAAGGCGATAAGTTTGAGACTCAGAGTCTATTAGAGGAGGTAAAGGCCTGTCCGCTACATTATACACCGGTTCAGAAATAGGCAACATCCTTGTGGGATTGTTAGCAAAAGAACATGATACGACACGAACATTTTGGAAATGATGGGAAGGAGGACATGTGCTCTGTTATGATGCGACCGCCAATAAGATTAACTTTTTGGGAGCGGTGATATCCCTGTTGTGTTGGAAGGAGTATGAAAAAAGTTAGCAGCTTTTCACATTTTGGACGAAAAGAACGATGACGTACTCAGTGGCACCACGTTGTCAAATTTGGAAATCACATAGTTATAGTCATGGACTCCGCCACCGAGTGCGGAGGCTAATTTATCTGCTCTTTCGATTTTTCATAGATCTCTTTTTTCTGCAGTCTCTCTCTCTCAAACTCTCCCTCACTAATACTTCCTGCATTCAGTTTGCGTCGATTCTCCGTTTTGCTCTCGATTGCTGACAGAGCTAATGCTTGCAAACTATTTTGTCAGTGTTTTATTCAACAATGTATCTATTCACATCGTGAATGAGTTGTACTTCATTGATCAGACGCTCCCTGAATAATGTTTGTTTCGTTTCATTCGACATTAGGAGAATCTTATGAAGTTTGGACTCATCAATCTCAAACATTGAGGGGATACCTCAAATCCTTTACAGAGACCGACTCTCTCTGTAAACTCCTTAGCACACATATGCAATCGTGCCAAGTCTCTTTTTTCAACCTCGCATGGGTCCCGCTTATGCAGGGACTGCTTTTCTCGCCAGAGTTCTCCATATTTTCCTATCTGAGGCAAGGTCTTCATTTCTTCCAAATTTTCGCAGGTTGACCTATATCCTGTCCATCCACCTCATCTTAAATCTGCCTCTGGGGTATTGCCTGATGCTTCCACCGCCAGGGCTAGCCTCGTAATGTGGTTTTTTTTTCATCTGTGCAAAGGGCCATTGCAATCTGGGCGATGAAGCAACTTTCATTTTGGCTCGTGTGGTGTAATTGCAGATGTGGTCTTTTTGTGACACCTAAGATGCACAGTATATCCTTGTTTCTATTGACAGTGATTTCCCGTTCCTCATTCCGCGCACATGGCCAGCGCACACTACTATAGAGTGCTGCTGTCGGATAAGAGTCCGGTGCAACCGGAACTTGAGGTGTACTGGAATTCGTTCGTAGCACGGGAACCTTAAGGCCCTCTATTGCATCCACGCTGTGTTTAACCCCAATTGTTCCTCTTGTAAGCCTCCTCTGCTGAGATGTGATTGCTTACGTACTTGTATTTACTTGCTTTCTATAATTCAAAAACAAAGTCATAACAATCACTGAATTGATACTTTTAGCCTGCAGCGCTCTTTTGGTGTCAGAATTTTGCACACAAGAATCGAAATACAACGGACAATTTTACGCATTTTATGAAAGTGATTGAGGATAGACGGTAATTGCATAAATGATATTCTAGTCATATTCACCTCGACTTCTTCAACCGAAAAATTTTCCGTCCTTAAACCAGTGAGGAATGCCAAGACGAAGCAGATAATGCTCGCAAAAGTCCAACAAAATTTCCTCGTTTTTACATTCATTCGTAGGGAATGGCTGAAAATATGTGGTATCACACTGGGGAATCCTGTTCAGCACACAGCTCACCATACAGCCAACCACCGCTCCGCTGTAAAAGCACAAATAGAGATCATTGAACCAAGACCATATGCCTCGCTTATTGCAAACTCAAGCCTGCACATGAAGTTATTATTACTGGCATTACAGCGGATAAGGCGATATATTCGCAGTGGGCAAGCTACAATGGCATCAAATCATTCAAGACGAAAGTTCTTCATATTTACAAAAGTAGTAGTATTACCTGAAAGGAGGAGCATATCCGAAACAGCAAGATTCAACAAGCAGTAATTGGCGTGCGTATGCAGGGACTTTGTTTTAATAATAACCAAACAAGAGCAGATGTTGCCAGTTGCGCCTAACACAAAGATTACAGCAAGAGTAGCTATAGTGGGGAATAATACAGCCTAAAAAGGTTGAGCAGCAGACGTTTAAATGCTTGTATCAGTTGATGTGAGATTGTTAGAGCAAAGAATTTTAGAATTATTTTTCAAAAAATTAATTTTTCAAGAATTTCAGAGCAGATATTGCCTTTTAAAAGAAGTTTTTCTTTCAAGTTGACATGAAAAAAAAGCCTCAAATTATAAGGGGTTGCGACTTAGCTAGCTATATCAACTGCTAGCTAATACATCAAATTGAGCAGCTAAGCTAAGCGATTGTGGATTTTCAAAAATCAGCTCGTACAAAAAGCCGTGCAGAACAGCCGGCAGATCCTATTCATTAATGTTACTTCATAAAAAAATAAGTCTAAACGTATTTTCTTCTTGTAAAGCAGCGATTTGCGCGCAGGTATCTATTCCTGGAAGAGCGAAATTGCGACACTAATGCCCTTAACCAATTGTGTTCGATGTTAAGTAATCTTGGCATAGATGTTACCATACAATGTTATAGCCTATCTAAACAGCAGCCAAAATATCAATAGCCTTTTTAAGAACCGCTTTCAGTTATAATCGACTTCGCACTCTAAACATAAACGTGGAAAGTAGTCGAGTGTAACAGAAGAACGTGCAGTGTAAACATGAAGTAGACCTCCCTCGAAAAAATGAAAGGAGTCATGCTTGGGCAACCGTAACCATTTACGTCAATAGATGTGCCTGAAACTCTGGCTCGGTAGTAATCTGGTCGAAATTCCAAGTTTATAGCTGCGCGTTAACTTGGAGCCGATTGGTTTCTAAACCTCGGAGTTTCGTACTACTACTTGCGGTGCCGCTATAGGTGTTGAGGAGCAGCCTCACGCTTCATCGCCAAACACTCCGACTAGGTCGGGGCGTGAAGTGCTTACTACTAAACCACTAGGCCACAGAGCAACTTTGCCGTAAGTTGCTCTGTGGCCTAGTGGTTTAGTAGTAAGCACTTCACGCCCCGACCTAGTCGGAGTGTTTGGCGATGAAGCGTGAGGCTCCTCCTCGTCGGGCTGCCTTCAGGCGCCCTCGTGTTTTCGCGTCCTTTCGAATCTCTAAGCTTCTTTCTTCTTTTCTCTCCGTTCTTTGTGCTTGTACTCTGTATTTTAGGCAAGATATGGCAGATAACCGCTGCAACACGCCGTCTTCCCTGTTATCCAACATGTTTGAGTGGCTAAATCAGGTAAGACTCGGTCTGCCAGTTGCTGCAGCGGACCCTTCTCTTGAAGTTTCCTTCTAGGTTACCTCAAGTCCTGCCCGAGGACTCGCTGGGTCGCACACTTTGTCTAAACAAGCTTGATCTCGTGTTTAGCACGTTTATCGTGTATTCGGACCATCACACTTGTGATCTTTTCATCTACAATTATTTGAAGTATGGAGACAAAAGAGAACAGGTGTCTTGATCAAAGAATGTGTGCGACCCGGTCTCGAATTCCGCAAAATTCAAGAGAAGGGTCCGCTGCAGCAACTGGCAGACCGAGTCTTACCTGATTTAGCTACTCAAGCATGTTGAATAACAGGGAAGACGGCGTGTTGCAGCGTTTATCTGCCATATCTTGCCTAAAATACAGAGCACAATCACAAAGAACGGAGAAAGAAGAAGAAAGAAGCTTGGAAATTCGAAAGGACGCGAAAACACGAGGGCGCCTAGGATGCAGCCCGACGCGCGCTGCGTGCGCGGCGCGGAGGTACATATGAGAACCTGGCCGGGGTCCACACTATAAATGAATGCGCGTAATCAAAAACTCATAGGTCAAGACATGTTGGAAGGCGTTAGGCCTGCCTCTGTGTCTAGCCGTTAAAGCATTACATAAATTTTTATAACAACTTTACTAGTCGTATTTTTGAGGGCCACGGATCTCCCTCATAAAGGGATCACAGCCGGTTAGTCGCGAGGCTACGTGGGGCGTCCCCAGGTGGCGGATAGGGGGATAATCGCCGACCAAAAGCGACCCCGCGCCTGCTCTGATAAGCAAGCGGAGCCGGGGGACGGACTCCCTGCCTCCACTAAAAGTTTGCGCCCTAATTTCCCGGGTAGGTGTGTGGGGAGGCGAGTCCGGAGTTGCCTCCAACAAATAAGCTCCGATCGTCCCTCGCGGGGGTTTTGAGCCCAACAAGCTATCCCTGCGAGTAAATTCTTGTTCGACACAGTGATAATATGGAAAGCTCCTTTAATCTTGGAAGAGCCACTGGTAAGGCAGCGCCAGTGGGGACAAGGTTTGAAAGGCGATCTAAGCTGCCGAAAACGAGACGGACTATGATGACGATCTGTACTTACAACGCGAGGACGCTGGCATCGGACGCATCTATCGAAGATCTCATGATGCAAGCAAGGAAGATTAAGTACGACGTCATCGGACTGACCGAGACAAGGAGGCACCACCCGCTGAACGCCACATTTGAGACTCTAGAAGAGCTGTTTCTAGGAACATGCGACAGTCGAGGAGTAGGTGGAGTGGGAGTCCTTGTCAACACGAGTTTGGCCATGAACATCGATTCGTTCGAACAACTTACAACTCGAATCGGACGTTTGCGAATATCAAGATGTGGATCAATCCCTGCCTTGACCGTCTTCATTGCGTACGCCCCAACATCCAGCTACGACGAGGACGAACTCGAGGAATTTTATATGGACTTGGAGAAGTTCTACAGAGAAGATCATACCTTCTACAAGATCATCGTCGGTGATTTCAACGCGAAGATCGGAACTAGAAGGTCGACTGAGGAACTTCACATCGGAACCCATGGTTTGCAGTGGAACGAACAAGGGGAGAGACTGTCCGAGTTTATCATGACGACAAGGACTATCCATGGAAACTCACAGTTCCAAAAGCCCTCTTCCCTACGCTGGACCTGGGAATCGCCCGGTGGAGAGTACCATAACGAGATTGACCACATCATCGTCAACAGAAGGTACTGCCTGACGGACGTCGCTGTTGTTCCGAAGTTCTACACGGGATCAGACCATCGTCTCCTGCGCGCCAAATTCTACTTTCCGCGGAATGGAGAGAGAGCGGTTGAGTTCAGAAAACATCGTCCCATGAATACCACCAACTGGGATCTGTTTTTTTCGATATCCGGCTCATGGCGAGATACCGTGATGGACAACATCGACGAAGAATACGAACGGTTCGTACAACATCTCCACGGTTGTGCCAAGGAAGCTCAGAGTCTAAGAAGTACGAGAAGGCGTCTCACCACGGGGACTTTGGAGCTGATACGCCAACGCGGACGCGCACGAGCCACAGGCAACTACCGACTGACGTCCGAGCTTGCGAAGCGATGCAGAGAAGCGATAAAAGAAGACCTTAAGGAGAGAAGAGTAGCAGTGATGGTTGACGCCGCGGAGGCTGGAAGAAGTATACGTAACGCCCGCCGAAGCTTCGTCAACTTCAAGACAAAGATGACCGCACTTCGTCGTCCTGACGGAACCATAACTGCTTCCCGAAGATCAATGGAGAAGGTCATCCACGACTTCTACTCGGATCTTTTGCGAGCCACGTCCACCTTCCACCATGCCATCTCAAGGAGGACGAGTATGTCGCACCGTCTGTTCTTCCTTCCGAGATTCGTCATGCTATCATGTCGATGAAAAACCGTACAGCACCCGGTCCCGACAGGATTAAGCCAGAACATCTGAAGAATCTTTCGCCAGTTCTCATCAAGACTTTGGCAAGGCTCTTCACGCGGTACCTGACGGAAGGCAAGGTTCCAAGGCAATGGAAGACCAGCAAAACCGTGTTGCTGTACAAGAAGGGAGATCCCTGCGACATCGACAATTATCGCCCTATCTGCTTGTTGTCTGTAGTCTACAAACTCTTTACGCGAGTCATTCTCAACAGGATCGGAAGAGAGTTGGACGAAGGACAACCATGCGAGCAAGCTGGGTTTCGAAGAGGATTCAGCACGATCGACCACATACACACGGTGTCAAGGCTCATTGAAGTGTCACGAGAGTATAAGATGCCGCTCTGTCTCACCTTCATCGACTTGAAGAAGGCCTTTGACTCGGTTGAGACTGAAGCCGTCATCGATGCCTTGAGCAATCAAGGTATTCCGACTCATTACATCAAGATAATTCGTGAGCTGTATAACGACTTCACAATCACCATGACACCATTCTACAAGGACATCATCATTGACGTGAAGAGAGGCGTGCGACAAGGCGATACTATATCGCCGAAACTATTCAGTGCCGCTTTGGAGAACGTCATGCGTAAGTTGGAATGGGACAACATGGGAGTGAAAGTCGACGGCCGGCAGCTACACCACCTTCGCTTTGCTGATGACATCGTATTGATAACACCAAGCATCACGCAGGCGGAACAAATGCTGGCCCAGTTTGACGAAGTGTGTGGAAAGATCGGTCTACGACTGAATCTAACGAAGACGATGTTCATGAGGAACGGAAGAGTGCCTGATGCTCCTTTCATGCTCAACGGGACGAACATCACCGAATGCTCAAGCTACACCTACCTAGGTCGTGAACTCAATATGATGAACGATCTAGCTCCGGAAGTGAGCAGGAGGAAACGTGCAGCATGGGGAGCATATAAGACAATTGAGGACGTAGTGAAGAAGACCAAGAACATCCGGCTCCGCGCCCACCTTTTCAACTCGACGGTTCTTCCTGCTTTGACGTACGCTTCAGAAACATGGACAATGAGAAAGCAGGATGAACACGCGGTTAGCGTCATCGAACGAGCTGTTGAGAGAGTGATGCTAGGAGTGAATCGACTCACGCAAGTGAGGCAAGGATTACGAAGTTCTACCCCACGTCAACGATCGAAGATCAGGGACGCTGCCGCGTACGCCAAGCAGAACAAGATAAGATGGGCCGGGCACGTAATGCGTTTCGACGACAACCGTGGACGAGAGCTGTAACAGATTGGATACCACTGGACGTCAAACGCGAACGAGGGAGACCGCCGACGCGATGGTCAGATATGTTCACGAAGTCCTTTAATGAAGTCCTTCAGAGCGTTCTACGTGTTCCTGGTGCGATA